GTCCGAAGAAATGCCAGGAAATACTGACACCTTGTAGGGTGGCCAACAAGGGCACCGCAGTGAAAGAAAAAGTTGTGGAAGCCACCCCACCCACACCTTTATGCCAGAGTCGACATGAAATTTGAACATTAAGATAGTTACATTATAACGCAACAGGTACAAGAAGCTAATACTAGTAGACAGGACATTAATAGATAGATCTCATTCCCCCCGTAGTCACTGATAGCCAAGCATTGATAGGTAAGTACCTTTTTTACACCATAAAAACACCTCACACGCGTCATGAAAGGATTTTATTTTTGAACACAGGCGGACACAGGAACAGAAGACTTCTGACTCCTGCTAGCAGGCATAGAGCATTCCCTTGCCATAGTAAGTCTCACCAACTAGTCTCCCCCTGCAACACCACCCGCCAAACAGTTAACAACCAGGTACCCAATTACTGCTGAGTGAACAGAGGTGAACAGTTAAGGGTTGGCGCCTAGTCAATCCTCCCTAGCCAAGACTCACAGCCCAGCCCAAAACTTGCTATGGACAAGTTAGTTTCATAAGTTAATTTGATTAGTATTAGTGTTAGTAGTTACGCTACTCGTTACAACGTCAGAATTATTAACAACTGCAATTACCAGCGACAGCAGAGGGAAGTTTCAGCCCCGCTCCTGCCCATCACGGGAAGTCCATCACGGGATCACCATAGCCCGTGCTACTTGGAACTTTTAATTCCCAGTAGCTGAATCTTAAACAACAACAACAGCAGCCAGCGACAGAGTTGCCAACTTGTGCTTAAGAGAAGACAAGTGAGGTCCTACGGTGACGGAGGCGCCAGTGTTGACACTCAAGGTAAAGCCGCACTGCTAATTCTTTTGTTTTGCCTCGTTGAGACACCTCAAGGTTGACACCGCCAGCAACACCACAACAACGCCACATACACGGAAACTACAGACTGGAACACGCTACACACATTTCACAATGAACTACAGCGGGAGTCACAAACATACAGTAGGCTCCAAAACCTGGGCGGGAGTAAAATGATGACGTCAAAGTCACGTCACACACTTTGCTTAAGATTCAGTTACTGGGAACTAAACGCTCCAAGTAGCACGGGCTATGGTGAGCCCGTAGTGGACTTACCTGGCTCAGGAGCGGGGCTGTAACTGACGTCACACACCTTGTACATAACATTTATAAAACATATAAGTGGGATGATCTGTGGAGGCTTGATACACCTGAGCACACTACCTAACTTAAAACACCACAGAAGCAGGTAAAAAATGTTGGTTATTATGTGTGATAGTCACGAGGGAAGGTTATCTTGAGATGAATTCGGGGCTTTAGTGTCCCCGCGGCCCGGTCCTCGACCAGGCCTCCACCCCCAGGAAGCAGCCCATGACAGCTGACTAACACCCAGGTACCTATTTTACTGCTAGGTAACAGGGGCATAGGGTTAAAGAAACTCTGCCCATTGTTTCTCGCCGGCGCCTGGGATCGAACCCGGGACCACAGGATCACGTGTCCAGCGTGCTGTCCGCTCGGCCGACCGGCTCCCTTAGACGAGGGGAGTGGAGTTGATGGCGCAAGAGAGGTAATATAATAGCCATAATACAGTACTGTTATGGGAGTAACCAGCGTGTAAACAAAAGTACAAGTTAATAAACAATGAGAATAAGAGGACGGGGATGTTAACACCGGCCATCAGCATAATAGTAGGGACATGCCCCACTTAGACCAGGTGGCGTATCAGCCCTACACAATAACTCAACTACATATGATAGTTAACAAGCAGGTCGGAAGGCGCTACACTACACGACTCAAAGATGAAAAGATTGGAATAAAGTAGCCGAAGTTCAAGATCTAAGCGTAAAAATAACTTGACAGTGAGTTCACGGAAAGTGCCGAAGTCTGGGAAGAACTGGGGAAGAAAGTTTGAGGAAGTATTTAATACTGAATGAAGAGCGAGTCAGGAAGGTGAGAAGATGGGTAAGAAGAGAGATAACAAACTTCGTGGTGACTAAGGAGGAACTAAACTCTGGCACAACCACACGTATTAATAACAATGGGGACCTAACTAGAGAGTATCATGTTTACTAAATGAGGATACATATACACTATACAAAATGATGATATATGACGCCATGTTACAGACACGGAACTACCAGACAGAAGACAGCCAAAGAAACGAGTGAGAAGCACTGAACTACACACCAGTATCCCTGATATGCATTTCTGCAAAGTACTCTATAAATAATCAGGATGACCAAAACACACATCAGAAAATGGAGAAACGACGACGTTTCAGTCCAAACACAATTTGATATTGGTCCAGGACGGACCGAAACGTCGTCGCTTCTCCATCTTCTGATGTGTGGTCATCAAAAACTTGGGTTGAGCTCCTGGGTTCAGTGCATGTACACCTACGCCAAGCTCTAGGCTCCCACCTCCTCTTCCTGTGCTAGGCTGTCGTCTCAATCCCTAAACAACTGAAATATTTACAGGCTAGCTGACATTTCCGTCCGCTGCGCTAAGAATGGAGACTCCACAAAAAGAGTTCGGTATATTTGGCATTCTTATTATATATTCAGAGGCTCTGAGAAGGTAATCCATGACCTGGGAATTATTAAAAACCAAGAAGGTAAGAGGTGTGCAGGAAGAGGACAAGGGATGTGGGTGAGGCATGACGCCGGTGGGAAGATCAGAGGTGTGTATTAGGCTGTGTCACGTCGTGTTACCCGCAAGTGCAGCATCGCAAGTGCTGGCTTCGTATCCTGTTTCTTCTCTTACCTTATAGCTTTGTCTCGTACTGCAAGCAATCTGGAGAACGTGCAAGATACATTCAACATCATTCACACAAAGATAATGAAAATGGAGACAAAATGTTCGAAGGAGGGTAAGACGAAGGTGCAATATTGAACTTAAAATGCTGTAAAGGATTAATAGTTTTAAACAATATTTACAATGAAAAACCCGTAATTTTGTTTACCGAGTACCGAAATGTTGCAGCTTCTATTCCAGTGCAGGACGAGATGTTTGGGCACGTTTGCTTACTGTTGATGCTTCTTATTTTCTCCTAGCATTAAAGACTAACCTGGGAGTCAGGCAACGGTTGTGAGTTATATCTCGGGCACTAGCCTAAACATAACTCAAAACAACGCACAAGCTCAACAAGTCACGTCATAGGGCAGAAAACAGGAGATGCTTTTTCACCCATAGAGTTAAGTTTACGCCATCCATAAGATTGAATGTCGGTCTATCCAAGACGGGAAGCCAAATGTTTGGGGCTAGCCTCACCCAACTTTGTAATGGAAATGATCTGGGGCACGGGACGGACATGTGCTGGTCGGGGTCGCCAGAATTAAAAAGGGGAACAGTGTGCCAAGCGTCACACACTTATCCCCACCACGAATTTTAGCGCTGCTCGCTGGGTATACCTAGCTAAATATTTTGAAAACAAAAATAATTTCTGTATAGTAATATTCACCATTATTCACTGATCTCGGGAAAAGCAACATACATTTTCCGAGAAAATTAGTTGGAGCCATTAGGATGATTCGAATCTGCACCTTGAGTACTCCTAGACACACCTTAAACCATTGCACCGTGATAACACTGAAAGTAATGTAACCCGAAATTCAACTGAAAGCTCTAAGGGTCCTGAGGCATCGACCTGATATCAAATCAAGGTTTCACACAATACCCACATACAATCTAGTGTAGTATAGTTGTTCCACTTCTCTACTCTCACTTCAAATGCACAAAAAAATCATATTAATGTGATGTATCAATGATTAACAAGTTGGATCCAAGAGGTGGATTCGATCCAGCATCCTGATATTCAATTGAATCCTAGATTGCATTACATTCAGCATATTGTGGTCCAATGGTTTAAGGCACGTGCTTTGGAGTACCCAAGGTGCAGGTTCGAATCCTCTTCATGGCTCCACCTGGTTTTATCATTGGTACATCACGTTAATGTGATTTCTTTGTGCATAAATTTTCCGCTATTCTTATTTCGGCCATAGAAGCATAAAACAGACGAGCCTTCCTCAGCTTCCAAAGCTTTCTCAAGCCCTGCGCCTTTCTCGAAGCAAATGGGTAGCTAATATATATTTCTTAATATTCCATCACTAGGCTCCTACTGGCAGAACACCCATGCACCAGTGGTAGACTCTATTATTTGTATAATAGACATAAACAGAGACAGTCAACAAAAAGATAGACAGAATGAGAGAGAGACAGATAGGGAGATACAGACATACACATGCTGAGAAACTGGGGTTGATCAGGGTAAAAAGACAGGGAAAACAAACAAAAAGACACAGATAGCAATACAGAGGCAAGCACAATGAAGGACAGAGATGAGAGAAGGAAGGAGAATGGGGAGAGGGATATATTTGAAGACAAGGAAAGAAAAGGGAGATATTTGAATAAAGGGAAGGAGAGAAAGGGAGGCAGGTCGAAAGGAGGAAAAGTGAGAGAAGGGGATATTGGGAGAGAGCGTGGAAAGGGGGAGCGAGAAATGATAATGAAATGTAGAATACAAATAGGGAATAGGGAAAGTACATACAAAATGAGTTACAAGCAGAATGTTGGATTTCTAAATAGAGCTAGTATATACTATGCCTAAAGCCACTAATATACACAGCATTTTGGGCAAACAGGGAAAGAGGGAAGGAGAAGGAGACAGCAAATGTGAGAGGGAAGGAGATGAGAAGAGAAGGGGGATAGGAAGAAAGGAGAAATAGGGAAAGAGACAGAAGAGAGGAGGATAGAGAAAGAGATGAGAGAGAGAGAGAGGGTGTGGGGATGGGGGAAAGGAGAGATCCAGACACAACCCGCTATACCTAAACAAAATTAATCAAATTATTCTGTTTTGCTTGAAATGCTTTGAGTATTAGTAGCTTTATCTAATAAGCAACTCCTGTACCTTCAAATATATATCTGCATTATGTATACATATTTTATGAATCAAATATTATTGATTTTAAACCCATGGAACTACTTACCTGCCAAAGCCGTTAATTCCAAGACATTAATTACTTCAGCTCAAAATCCAGATGGAAAGAATTCTTAAGAATAATGGATGGGGGGGCTTTGACAAGCCACTGGCTTCCTGTCCTCTTCGAAGCCCCTAAAGAAATGGTGGTCTTCAGGTAAATTCTGGTATAATACCTAACTTCTCAAATATATACCAGAAATGCTTTGCATACTAGTGACTTTATTAAATATATATATGCATTTTATGTAACTATTCAACTACTGTACCATGTTCTTCTGCTTATTCTTTTAATAATTATTCTTATTATTATATGATCTATTTCACATCAAGCAGGATGGTGCAAAGTCTACTTGAGCAGTAAGATGGGTTCATCTCCCATTATATTGTTATGGCAACTCTAGCATCCTCCTACTTGCTGTTTCATCACTATGCCAACCCCAGCATTTTCCTACCAGGCGTTTTATCACCATGGCAACTCCAGTATCTCTGCACCAGCTACATCAACACTATGGCAATTCCAGCATCTCCCTACCAGCTGGTCCATCATCATGGTAACTCCAGCATCTTCCTACCATATTTTAACACTATGCAGCTCCACTTTATCAAATGCTTCATCACTATGGCAACTTCAGCATCAACCTACCAGATGTTTCCTAACTATGACAACTTACAAGATGTATATTTATTATGGCAACTCCATCCTCTCCCTACCAGCTGTTTCCATTACAATGGAAACACTTCCCTATTAGGAACATGTCTTACATAACTCCATAACACCTTCAACAAGATAACCATAAATAATTTGTTTAATTACCTGACATCAACAGTTTCAATCATTACAGAAATGGAGTCGTAATTATCCACGATAAACACAGGTGGCTGTAGACACTCGGGGCTGGCATCAGCTACACAAGAGGACGCGTTGGATCCTCACAATCTGCCGTAAACACTATATATAAAGTTATAAATTATGGAAGATACTTATGGAAGTCCAACACAGTCAAAGGTCAACACGCAACTGTCACTCGGTGCTATACGGTCAATAAATAAACAATCATATGACATTTGCCAGAAAGATCGAGTGTCTATAAGAGTCAGTATATTTGCAGGAAAAGTATCTAGAACTTTAAACTATAAGAGCTAGATTGAAGAACGATGCTCTCTTGTTTGTGATGTTTTCTTGTTATCGTATGTATAGCTGACGCTGTCGATATATTAGTTGGTTTTCGTTATTTATTTGGAATTAACAATATTTTTATATTATTGATGATTAATAATAAGTTCTTTATTAAGTGAGAAAAGACTGCAATGAGTCACATAGGCTGTCATTCTCTTTAAATGTAAATAAATACGTTTTGATTATCTTGGCCGTATATGTCATGGATGGAATTGATGATATACTTGTGTAAAAGGAGGAAAATGTATATGTTTATCTCTCAGAATGTTTGGTAATATGTTTATTGTTTGTGATGTGTGTCTATGTATGTATTAACACGATGTACTGAACGGGGTGAGAATAGCTTGAGCTACCTCATCCCTTTGTGTGTATTTTACCTCAATAAACTTATTTCAATTTCAATTGATGACATGATGTAGGCCTCTTAAACAGGCAGCTTAAGGTCACGCTGGCCTCAAGCAACAACCTAATAGATCACCTTATCACCATACAAGCCTAGTCTTCCGCCGGGTTCGGGTAGAAAAACTTTATAAACGGACTACAGGCAAGTGTAGCCAGAGATTTTTTATAATTCATTGTGGTAATTATTGTACCTAAATGTTTTATTGTACCCAATGTACCTTCTTGTATATAAATAACTAAATAAATTAAAGGATGTACTTACATCAGTAAGTACACCCTGCCTTGGTAACTCTTATTCGCTGATATATCCATATCTCACTTATGGTAACTGTGCCTGGAGTATATATAAATTGAGATATATAAATTTAATGTACCTACTAGTCTGTCAAATTATATAGCACTTCTTTTCTGCCTATATAATCAATCTATTGATCAGTAAATCCATCCTTCTGAACATGTATTATTAAATAATAATTCTAGCATGAATCTTCTTTATTTTCCTTACAATTTTCTTCACGCAAGAAGGAAGTTGAAAAATGAACTCTCCAACATTCTTTTTTACAGTTTTATTTGGCCTGATGCTAAGAGATGCATTTCATTAATTCTTGTTAACATTGTCAAAGGCAGAGATCAAATTATTACACAGTTTCTTGCTGCATGATATATATCCGAGGATGAGGCAATGGTAAAACATCTTACTTATAGGTCCACTGTATCTTGCCAAATCTCCTAGTTGTATGATGGCTTAGGGAGTATGTTATATGTTCCATCGTGTTCTGGAAGTTGGAAGTGTAATTTGGTGCTAGTTGAATACTAATCAATAGCCAATTCCAATATTAATTGGAATAAACCAAGCCATGTATCAATAGCCAACTAGCACCAAATTACACTCTGACTTCCAGACATGATTATTATATTGCTAAAACATTTTTGATCCTTTTAGCAATACAGTAATTCCAAAAATATCCGGAGTGGGCAGTGTTGCCCATAAACAATGCTTCATTATTCTAACAGATATGACCTTCAAGTCTGTCACATATGGCTTGGTTTCCCACTATTGGGAACAGGAAGCCTGTACTTAGGTTTATTGACGTTCCCCTTGGCCAACTACTGACCTTCATCAGGATGCAAGACACAATAATCAATTTGACTATCTTGTACCTATTTACTGCTAGGTGAACACAAGTGTCAGCTGAAAAGACACTTGCCCAACACCGTGTCCTGCATGGAAATTGAACTCCGAGACCCTCTGTTGTGAGCCAATGACACGACAGTTCACTGTGAATTTGTTTTTTTGTATATCATATGAAAATAAAACATTTATAATGGAGATGCATAATAAAATTTTCTTACAGAATATAGCACAACAAAGATAATCAAATACAGTATAAATGTATATTTATAATTTAATTTTTAACAATTAGAACACCATTTTATCGATATTAATTTGCTCTCCTTGACGAGAAACTTAAGTCTCTAGCATGGAGGTAGAAAGTACTGTCTTCAAGCAGTTCCAAATAAAACTAAAGAATTCACTTATTCTTTTAAAAACACTTGACAATTAGACATCAACAAATTATGATGCAAACAGTCCTATGTTATCAAGTTGCCTGTTAATACTGTACTAATACAATTTGAACAATATCTGTTGTCAAAATCTTAGGATGATTTGAAGTGCACACACTGATAGTGGTTAGCTGCGTGTGTCTGCACAAACTTTTTCTTTTCCAGTTTTCACGCACCAATTATGCCGTACTTCTCCAGCCAAAAACTAGATATGCTAGGCATTTGGATCCAGGTCAGATGAAAAATAAGAAATTTTACATTCATTCAGGTAACTAATACCCATATAAAACAAAAATATAAGTTAACCATATTCAACTTTAAGAAATGCCAATAATAAAGTTGTAATTTAAATATAATTATCATTCAAGTAAATAACCTCATATTCTCCTCCTTTTCCTAACGATACACTCAAGTGATACTAAATAAAGTGAGCATTTTAAACAAATACTCCAATATACAGTGCTGGCAATTGACGCGTGTTACTAAAGCTCACAAATATAATTTTTGGCATTAATAAGTTCACACTAAAATAATAATACAAATTCAGATATATTTAACTGAAGTTTTGTTAAACAAAAACCAAATGGAGATAAAATTCAGGACACTTCAGATAGCAAGCATTAAGGACTTTTAATGAAACTAAGACCATTCTCATTAGATGACTAGATAAATTAGAATGATTCATGTACTGTAACCTAAGTATTTACATTAACTGCTATATTTTGGTGATCTTTAACAGAAAACCTTAAAATGCAGTATATATGAAAGTATTTTAAAGCATACACCATCACTTGTATAGAATACATAAATCAATGACCAACTGCAATTATACTTTTGCTATAACATGAGAGATTACTGTCCTATGTATGCCAAAAACATAGCAAGGATTATATACAATACATTCATAATTACAAGTGAACATGCACATACATGTAAACAAATGTTTCTTAACTCTACATAGAATCAATCAATCAAATATTGCACTTTTCCAGTCGCATCTTTTTCTTACACACATCACATTATTTGCATTTACTACCTTATAATATTCAGGTTATTCTAAAACTGATAGCCAATGGAAGAGTTTCATTTCCTTAGAATGGTAGTGACCAAAAAAACAACTATTAAAAGGGAGGTAATGTGTTTGTAAAGATGTCATGACCAATTAATAATAACAATAGTAATAGTATGGCTAGCGTGTGGATCATGGTCACATGATGCAGCTTTTACTTATTCACGGCTGTCCAATTAATAAGAGTAAAATGTGTTTATGTATACTATATTAAATAAAATGCTACAATAACTAGAAATTCAAATAGCTACAATGACCATTTGTTGGCATACATGTAAAACAAAAAATTTGCACTGAAGATCTGTAAGTACGGAAGTGAGAGACCTGAGCAGTCGTTCATATGAGGCATTATGGGAAGAAATTATAATCTTAACAAGGATGTACTGTGTCACGCCAAAAGATCACCGAGCTAAAAGCATGACACCAAAAGCTATAGATCATCCAATTACAACCACACAAGCTACAGACCATCCAACAGCAATCACACCACAAGCTACGGGTCACTGAATAATAAAAATTCAACAAGTTGCATACCAATTTGCCACAAGCACACTCACAAGTCAATCAATTTTCAGTCATTGACACTTTACAAAATACAGACTGGATAGTCCACTGTGAAATACTCCCTAATTCTGAAGTAACAATAATGCTACTGTATATGGAGACACGATTAAGAAGATACACATACATTGACTTTGGATTGTTACAAAGAAAGGCTGGCAACCACTGTGACAACATTTATGCTGAACCAAAGCAGTCATGTATGGCAAGATTCTTTTTAAAAATGGCAGTGAAATGACCATGTTTCAGTGAGAATTAGTTTCTGTTTTAAAATACTGTATTGTATGCATATTGTTGACATTGGTAATATTTATTGCAATAATATAAAATCTTTGAGAAAGTACTAAGCATATTATTTACAATATCCATGCAAGGATTTGTAAACGCTTGACCTAAACTATACCATTAGCATATAGCAAGAAAAAAACATAAATCATGTACATCCTACGTACTATATCTACTATATTTATAAATTATACACATTATAATGAAATGTTTGTTGAACTAAGCACAAAATTTACAATACTTTAAAATACATTTTTCCATAAAGGGTTTTTTCTGTGACAAAATACCCTGTATATCAAATATTTGTAGAAAATAAAATTTAAATCCCATGTTTATCAATTATTTGGCACACTCATTATTCAGCAATCAACATTCAACTGTTTTAAGACATGCTACTATGAAGTTTCAAATGTCCCATCTTGAGTATAAACTGTAGTTAACTTTCAAATACTTGTAGAACTTTAAACCTTTTAGGATTGTCATCTGTAAACAGCTAAGCTCAATCCATCTACTCATTTATCAGTATAAATAAATAAATAAATATATATATATATATATATATATATATATATATATATATATATATATATATATATATATATATATATATATAAATATATATATAGTGTATTTAATTTAAAGAGAGAATCTTTGAGAATGCCATGGAGACAGGATAGTAAATGTCAAATCACTATGTAAATGCAAGTACTGTATATATTGCAACTAGACATTGTCTAATTTAAAAACATTAAAACGTGTAAGTGAAGTTTACTCTCATAATATTCGTAGATGGACTTGTTCTCTGTATGGCTCTCATACAAAAAAAAAATCAAAATGAGTAAATTAAAAGTTTTTCTGAATGGATCAAGTTACTAGCTGGTTCTCCAATATCTTACCATTTTTTCATTGCCTTTCCAATTCTATTTCTCCACTTAAAGTTCTTTCAATGTTTGACAATCAATTTAATAATATCATAATTTAGGAAGTGTTATCTTTCAGGAAAGATATGCAATTTCTAGTTTTTTTCAGGAGAGAAATTAACAATAAAAGTCTATACCTGTACTGTATTTATATAATAAATAAAATAAATAAAGAGCACTTCAGCTTGAGGTAAAGTATATAATTTAATTGTCATTTGTATCTACCTATACATCATGACCTTGGGACTCTGGTAAAAGCACATGTAAGCGTCACAAAGAAGACGCCGAGGAAGGTCAGGAAGGGCCTTGTTGTCAGTGACAACGTGAAGCATCTGACTACCTTCATCTCCAACCCACTGCATCAGATCTCCACACTCCACAACGGTTGGGATATTGTACCCATGCTGCTCACCTGTGTAACAAGCACAAGAATGCACTGAAAATTCATTGTGATGTCAGTGCCAAAGTGTTGCGTTGTCTGTCTCTTCAAAATCTTGGTCCATTAACACTATAGGCCTATATTTTAACTCTTCAAACTACAAGATACAAATATCTAAAGTGTTCTATAACCTGAGAGAAAAGAAACCCAGGGTTCTCTGCATTTTCTTTTTGAAAACACACATTTTTGCTTTATGATTTTTTCCATTTAGGATAGAATGTAAATGTGCTTTATTAGTACACACGTCTATTATTATATTTCAGAAATGAGTTTGGTTGTAACCCAGAAAAAACCTATTCATTCCGTGCAATTTTTTTTATATGCTAATTATATTACACTATTAATGGTGCAAGGAATTCTTATACTTTATTGCAAAAGTTGTTTAAATCTTTCTTTAATATACTTTACCTAGTTTCTAAAGTACAGTATTTATATTAACAGATTGGATATATAACAAAAAATCACTCACCTTTTCGGTCTGCCATGGAATCAAAAAAGCACCAGGTAGCATCAGCACCAGAACCGCAACGAGTGAATGCTACATAATGAGAAGTCTCAATGCACACTACAGCAAAGAGTTCCATGTATACTCGAGGTATGGAGCCACAGTGATCCGCAAGCATCTAGACATTACAAGTGAAAACAGAAAAATATGATTATACAAAATACTTTTCCTATAAGTTATGATGAGAAGATACACACGATAGCAAGGGCACACGTAACAATGCAGCCTTGCTATGTCATGTTAAATTTTTAATGCTTAAGCTCCAGCTCCTAGGCCCTACCTCATAAACTTCAATTAACTGATGTTATGGTTTCCTTTAGCTATTGGTTTAATCATATCTACAGTTGAACTCAGTGTGGAGTTAGCTTTCAATGCTTTTCCTTCTAGTGCATTTCACTGGTTAGTAAGCCTCACAACGAAAAAAATTCCTTCATTTATTATATTTATCTGGCTATTTGTGTTTTCAGTTTCCATTTGTGTAACCTTCATACGACCCTGAATGGATGCCTTAGTCCCTATGTGAAAATACATATATGTTTTCTTACCACACTGTTTCACATCTTTTAATTTTAGTAAAAGTAAGTTACATTTTGGAGTAGCAGCTTTGGTAACAGTATGCCATTATTATGATATATAATTCATGAAAATGGTTCTTGAACAGGGAAAACTTGCAATTTAGTAGCTAGGGGAAACACAAAACGATACTAAATATATCATAGATTTAACACAATAAAACTAGTGCATTCAGTATCCATCAAAACTAACAAAATGTATGTCAAGCTACATTTGGTAAGTAAGTCACTATTGGCATCTAATTTCCTTTTCTAGAAACAGAATAATGGTACTGGATATAATTTACGAGAATTCAATGAAAATATAATCTAAACACAAATTATATTTGTAATATTTAATATAAATGCACTGAATAATAAAAACCAAAGAAATCAAATAATACATTTTTCTCCAGATAGGACAAGTTAGTATGGGAGGGCGAACTTGCCCCATTAGCCATTATATGTCTTAGTATACTTTGCATCACAGCAGTCCTAGCCAGTTTAAGCCTTCTCTCATATTTGTAATATAGCTAAATCAATTATTCTAATTAACTCCCAGAAAATGCTGATACTTATTCTACTATATTAAATATTATACTTTATGGTGAATCAATTTACTCTATGAGCACAACAAATCTACTTTTCTTATTTCCTCAGTCATGGATGCTATGATATGCCTTAGATTTTACTACACTCAGAATTTTGGTACACTGACCATGCGATCAGCACCTACTATCAATGAGCAGTTTGAGGCACCTGTGTAAAATATACTTATATTGTAGTTGGGAAAAATACAAATCCAGGAGTTTGAAAGTTACACATGAAGTAATATTTGAGTACCATTTAAGGCATGGGTGGCAATAATCTAAAGTAGTATGAATAAATTAAGATTAATTGTATAGAGGTAACTGAAAGAGTAACCAAAGGTTGAATAAGGTCACTGAAACAGTAATAAATTAGAAATCAGTGTGTGCCAAATCTAGCCTCTCTCATATGTGCAGGCATTGTGTCACAATAATGTGGCTGAAGAAATGATGACCAAACCAAAACTCAGAAGATGGAGAAGCAATGACGTTTCAGTCCGTCCTGGACCATTGTCAAGTAGTGTGATAGACCACCAACACAAGACTTGACAATGGTCTGGGACAGAGCAAAACATTGTTGTTTCTCCATTTTCTGAGTTGTGGTTTGGTCATCACCTCTCTCACATGGTCATTTTTATCCCAATAAAGAAGGCATTTCTGCACTATTAAACAGCACTGTACTGGTACTATCACAGTGATCCTGCAACACAGTGTACCTGAAAGTCTGGAGGAACTTTCAACTTGCGAGTGGATGTGTGGCTGCCTCTTTTCTTGTGGCTGTGAGCCTGCAAAGGTACAGGAAAAAACAAAACCAATAAATGTATGTTGCAATATGGAGAGGTTATTAGACATGCAAATTGTACCAAGACTCAGAGGAACACTACTTGAAAATAAAGGCTTCTCTTTAGACTATTGGTATGTTTATATTACTCTACTTGCCCATGGTACATCTAATTTCATACAAATGAACTACATGCATTATATTCTACAAACATATTGATTTTTATTATACTTTCTTCAAGACTACTTAGAAGTTTCTATATTACTTAACACTGTCATCTCATTGAATGACATTCTCCTCATTGCCTGGCTTGCCTGGCTTGCGCAACTTTGTCCATAACATACTCTGCACTTGCAATTAATACTTGCTAAGACATTGTCATCCTTCCCACACACTTGTTCGTTAGAGAACAAACCGCTTTCTTACATGACAGTCAAACAGGCTTTTTCATAATGGCCAACTGACAGGAACAAACTGGTAATGCAAAACTTCAAAAAAAAAAAAAATGAGACAATAAACCCTTCTATACCATTGACACCACTGCTTGGCACTTTGGAGAGTTCAAAGACAGCATCTTTCTCAAAAATTTACACCTCTGCCATTTAAGAAAATGCCAAGAATTAAAAACTAGCACTTGTTGAATAATTCCGATTGCTAATGTGACTGTCAAATAAGTAAACAATGCAGATGCTACCTGCTACAAGAGAGCACAAATATACAAGCCAACTGTGGCCTTTCTTAGGACAGTATTGCATGACATTACAAGTTACAGAGATGATAGAAGTAGTGATGCAAAATTAAGAGGATGACTATTAGTTAATTTAACACTTGCATCAGACTAGTAGAAGGAGAAAGGTTTAATGAAGAAGTACACCACTTTTAGCTACATAATACTTCATTGTATAAATACTGTACTGTATTCACTACAACACAAAAATAAACAAGATTGATACATATGTACCTGAGAACCTGTGTTCAACCAATAGATTACTTACTTTATCCATGCATTTGGCACAGAAGGCAATACTCTCAAGTCCTGAGCCACACTGTCCAAAGCACTCACGGCACTCGTACTCGGCTAACTTTCCACATATAATGCATTGACGCGGAGCTGCAGAGAAGAAAATTATGCAAGTACATAATATTAATTAAGCATACTGTATTGAAATTTAACGATATTCAAACCACACATCAGAAAATTATTTTCTTTTTCTCTTTATTCTTCCTTTTCTCTTTACTTACCTTTACTCTTATTCATTCCTTTCATCTTATTCTTACCCTTCATTTTATTATCTTCATGGTTCTCTTTCACTCTTCCCACCTTTCTTCTCACTCTCTTCCCTTATATTATCTACGCCTTCCACTCTCTTTTCATCACACAACTTAATAAAGGTCCAGGATGGACTAAAATGTCATTGTTTCTTCACTTTCTGATGTGTGGGTTGGTCAGCATATCTTCAGGTACGTTACTGTGACCCATCATCTTGAAATTTCAATTTCAATGTAACCAAGAAAATTTACAAGAAAATCATCTACTTAAAACATTTTTTGTGCCACAATAAATATATTTATAAGAGTTTTGTGTTCATTACCTGCAATAAAGCAACATTCTAACTAGTTCTGTAATTTGTTACAAAACTATTTTCTTTCAAATTACAGAATTACTTTTTGTAAAGTAATGATAATTACTGTACTGTACTTACACACACAGGTGACGCAGCTACTGAATACATCTTGTGCCGAGTACAAGTGCCTATAGCCCAATACAAATTACCAAGGAACTGTGAGTGTATAGTAAACTCAGGAGTTGAATGAACAAAATTAGACCCTAGAGAACTGGTCAGTTCAGAGAGTATAGAAACAAACAACTTGTATACATGAAGACGAGAATTCCTAACAAACACGAGCTCACAACACAACAAAAATAAGGTCTGCATATGAAAATTAATAAGGAGCACTGTACATGTAGTCTTACGAAGTGGACGAGTGCTTTGTGAAGGATTTGATGAAGTGTGGTGGTGCCAATTTTCTGTGAGCAAAGTGTTGTGTACAATAGTTAATGGACAAGTGAAACTGTTTAATATATATGCAGTATCTTAATCCTTCTTTTCATGATGGCTTCCTATTTTCTTTGTGCTGATGCCTCCCCTTCCTAGGAAAGTGTCAAATTGGATAAAAATGATACAAATTATCATAATAGTGCTAGTGAACACAAATTAAAACTGAATACAGTAAAAATAAAATTATGAAGTTTAACCAGCCAGATAATAGAATACAGTAATTATAAGTATGGGTATGCCATGTTAGGAACAGGATGTCTGTGGCTTGCTAAGGTACATTTGATACTGCAGTAAAGAAATATATTCAACACACAAAATGCAAACAAAACTTACAGTCCTCAATGACATCTGTAACATCAAGAACCATGGACGGCAAAATCCTTGGGTACATTTTGTAGTCTTTCCCAAAACGAGGCATTTGGATGATCAAACAGGACGGAACCTGTAAAATTTCAATCAATTAACATCTGCTCCAGGATTCAGGAATATGTGCTGAAAAGTACTGTACACTTATTTATTAACAATTCAAGCAATCATAATATATGACCATATTTATAAACTGTGCATAATATTACATTTACAACAGTATATTCTTACAGTTTTAAACATTAACAAAGCTAGTATAAGGTGTTATCTTTAGATATCTTGAGGTTATCTTGAGATGATTTCGGGGCTTTAGTGTCCCCGCGGCCCGGTCTTCAATCAGACCTCCACCCCCAGGAAGCAGCCCGTGACAGCTGACTAACACCCAGGTACCTATTTTACTGCTAGGTAACAGGGGGCATAGGGTGAAAGAAACTCTGCCCATTGTTTCTCGCCGGCGCCCGGGATCAACCCCGGGACCACAGGATCACAAGTCCAGCGTGCTGTCCGCTCGGCCAACCGGCTCCCTTTGCTTTGTGTTGAGCAAAGAAAAATGCTCCTTTCTGACCCAGATCCCTTGCATGGTTCCCGAGCCCAGGATCAACATGGTCCACCAGGGACTCTCTATGGCCCCACGCTCTCATGACTTTTATCCTTATCATGACAGGTTACTATGTAAGTGGTCCTGTCATGTTGCTAGGAAGGGGAAACAGTGGCGAGTCTAACTGAAAACAGCACCCGAGTGACTAACTCGTACTGATACAAATGAATAAATGATGATCTTCAAACACTCTATGCAGGCAATGATTACCAGTACAAAGAATACAAAAAATAATGCTCTGCAAATTACTAATTATTATAACAAAGATACATTAACCACAACCATCATTACAAAAGGGTCAGGGAAGCCAGCAACACCCACTTGAAGAGCAAACCACCAAAACATGCTTGGGAAGGAAGGGGACAACAAAGAGGGAAGGAAGGGGACACTAAAGAGGGAAGGAAGGGGACAACAAAGAGGGAAGGAAGGGGACAACAAAGAGGGAAGGAAGGGGACAACAAAAAGGAAAACAAATGCATCTGAGGTAATAGCCAAGAGGAAAACATCTCCCTATGCTCCAACACTATGTCAGAGCTAAAAACCTCTCGTACGCTACTTAAACCTCGTTCCCACAATAAAGCAGCACTACAGAAAATAAATAAACGAGGGCAACATATCTGAGCAGGAGAATGAAGAAGCCAGAGCCACAAGGAAGACAAAGCACTTGTTCATGTCAACCATACCACCAGGCACTAAAAGTGTTCCGAGAGTAGTGTAGCCCTGTTAACCCAAACTGCAGGCAAGAAAAACCCATCCACTTACCTGGAGGGAAATTAGGGCTCAAGCACAAACCCAAGCCAGGAAAACCCAATTCAACTGCCAAGCAACTGACTGAAACAAGGATTAGTACATAAAAACCACAAGCCAGCGAACACAGCAGCAGTACACCGATGAGGATGAATCAGCTATAAAAAGCTGGAAAAAACCAGGCTCTATAGGGAGAAAACTAAATACAGGAGACAGAAGCCCAGTTGAATCTCACTAAAAATCAAAGTAACAAGGGGCCCAAAAAACCAGGGGCCCCCATATCTCTTATAAAGGATAGAGCATATCAGCTTGAGAGAACAACCATGCTACTCATCAAAAGGAGACAAAATCAATAGTGAAAATCCAAAGGGGGTTCTAGACACTCGTCCAAATAATGACAATGTAAAATACCCAGACACAGGTCCTGTCCAGAAGGCATGGCCAGGAGAGGTGGCACAGCTCAGTGTACATACCAATCCACTAGGAAATCAAATGCTACTAAGGTAAATTTTAAGGCAGATATCTGCCAAAGCCTGATGATGCCAGACAGCCACACCCCATCTTGCATTGGTTCCATGGATCAACATCTTCATAGCCCGGTCTCTGACCACAAGGCAATTATTGCACATAGGCACCATTCCAAAGATCCACAACAGCTCACAGCCAAAAAATGCAATCGAGCAAGGACCAATTTAATGGGGCCAGCCAGCAGAAACTAGGGGGCAAACAAAACAGAGAACAATGCAAGAAAGCAAACTGGCAAAATGCCAAGGATGATCTAAGATGAAACCACCGGGAAAGATGAAGCCCTTGCAATTGGGCTTCATGTCAAGGAAAACAAGACAAAGGAAAAAGGACAAGGAAACAAGGAAAACAAAGACAAGGGACAAGGAAAAAAACAAAACCAACACTCTAGAGCACAGATTGGGAATATAACCTGCATTGAATGAAATAAAATACCTCTTTCTAGGGTAGGGCCCTCAGTAGCTCCTTGCTGCTAGCTGCACCGAGATGGTATATTTACTATCATAAATACACAAGTAAACGTCTGTATTTTATAGCTAGCATTCTTCAGCACTGACATTAAACCTTTTGAACGTACTGTTTATGACTTACTTGCTTCAATTTGATATCCGAAGTGAGGAAAGACTGGTCAAACAGAGTCTGAACAGATGGCAGGTTGAGTTTTTCATCTTTATCAACAAAAAGCTGGTAATGATAAGCTTCTTGGCCAGAGGATAATTGAAGAAGGGGCTCAGCCTGCAGAATCTGGGCCAACAGGGAGTGCAAGAATTCCTCAGGATCTGCAGTAAAGAAGGTTGGGAACTTGATGCCAGTCAATGGTGGACAGTCGGTTCATGGGGGTATTCCCACTCCACAGATGTATCTGCCCTGAGATATAGGCACTTGTGTGGCTTAAATGCATAATGTATATACAGTATGTTATAAAAACTAATTTTGACATAGCAAACAAATTCAATTCATCATTAGCTTATTTGTAAATACTATACTGTATTTTATAATTTAGCCGGCATGAAATTATTTACTCTTGCTGGTTTGATCTTACCAAATTTAAATACAAATTCCATTTTGTATCTCTAATGTAAAAAAAATTTCACTACATTACAAAAGAACCACTGTAGTTTCCTAATAGGCATTCGGTCATGTGGTCCGATTCACACTGGCATTTTTATTGTCAAAGTTGTGCATCACTGTGGTAAGCACACGTGTTCTGCCATGCCTAATCTTCTACTGTGAATATAATGATTAACATCTCTATACTCCACTTGAGATATGTTTTACCTTTTCAACATCCAGATTGGCAGACAGGCTAAACCATTATAAATTGTACTGTGACCATCAACTATCATTCCAGGTCTCACTGTTAGGAAAATAGCATTTATTCATCATTGTGATTTATCCTTATTTTATCCTTATATCCTTATCCTTATTATTTATCCTATCCTTATTGACAGGGTTGGAGAAAGATGATGAAATAGTGTTCTCATTGCCTGCCCCCTAACAGAACATGAGGACATGTGTCCAAGATCACAAAATACCCATGTACAAAAAAGAAGGAACTATTTCTTCTGTAGGAGAGTAGTTGGGATGGAACAACCTTCAGGAAAAAGTTACATGCACCAAACCTACTACGAGTTTTAGGTCTAGATTTTATAAAATATATGACGATAAGCAAGATGGGGCACCATCATGTTTATGTATTTGCTTTTGTACTTGCATATCCATTTTCTTAGTACTATACCTACATACATACTTACCCTACCTTCCCCACTCCCTCCACTACCTTCTCTCGCTCTCTCTCCCCCCCCACCCCTTCTCTTCCTCCTACACCAGATCCCACCCAGTACTCAGTACCTCCCCCCCCCCAATGCTGGCAGCTTCCCGAACACATGACAGAATAACAATGGAAAGCATTAAAATCCGAAACACTATTATCCAATAAAATGTCAAATGTGAATAAATTTAACAAAAAAATAACTGAAAACATAAACTCATATGTAACAGCAATAATTGAAACTAAAATACCTGAAATATTAACAAAAGCAATTTTCCCAGATATCAGGTAACAAGACGAAAAAGAAAGCAGAAGGGAGGAATGGGAGTAGTGTTGCTGATCAAGAGAGATTACAAATTTTGAAGTGATCAGTACAGAGAAGGAACCCAATTAAGAAGATTATATTGCAGAAACCATTTCAGTGGAATGAGATCAAATTATTGTGGCAGTGATTTACAATCTCCCAAAGAATCCCAGAAGACCCAGGCACACACTTAAAAATACAAACAGAATTTGAGTATCATCCAAAGAGTGGCTGAAACATCCTTTACATTGGAGCAAAGCTAATAATGGGAAATTTCAGTCATGGACAAATTGACTAGGAAACAACATATGCATTAGGGGAAGAGACATAGAATGTGAATGCAATATTTCATGGTGAAACACACACAAAGGGCAAAGATCAATCCGCAAGGCTAGACTTGGTCACTCTTTCCTTCACAGCCCATATATGTCCTTGCCACTTGTCCTTTCTTATCGTCTATTCATTCATAACAAGCATCACACTCAATTTCTCACTAAGGGTTACTATCTGTTTATGATACAAGCTTGTCCAATAAAACAACTTTTACATCCTCCCTCTCTCTACTTTGGAATGCAATTTAAATTTTTTTACCAAAAGCATATACTTGGCTAATTTTCTATCTACACTGCATTGACAGGGAAAGTAAATAAATACCTCAAGGTACACATACATATTAATCTTTCATTTGTAATTTTAATATACTGTAGTATGAAAAATATAATCTGTTACCAATTAAGGCATTTTTTTACATTACAATAAATGATGGAAAAGGATAAAATACAAAAGCCAGCGACTTGCTCCTACTGTAGATAAATACTTGCTAGCTCATCTATTAATGATATTTTTGTATTTTTTGTATTTGTGCAAAGCAGTTCATCCACAATATAACATCATATTTGATAAAACTGGTCATAATTAAGAATTAGAAAAATTAAAACAAACCTTTTTCTTCTGTGGTAAGACCACGTACGGAAGACAGATGATCTAGCATGGTGCGAAGTTTCATGATGCGATCTGCTCGCACAAAGAGGTTTGCCCTAAGAGGGTTGACAATCTCTTCTCTTAAAACACGTTGGACTTCATGATACTCCTTAATGTCATGAGCAGTTGGTGGTCGAAACAGCAAGTTGTCAAATACGCTGTTTGGCACAAAAAGACTGTTGGTAAGCTTTTCGCTCAATATCTGTTTACATGAACACATGATGAGAGCGACACTCATGGAATAAGTCTTTCCTGTAATTGTTGCCAAAAACGGTTTTAAAGCTTCCACTGGTTTTGGCATACACTAACATCTTAAATTGGAATCCATTCATCTACCACTCTGTTTGCAAAATGAGAATATACAGTTTTATAGGAACTTTGTATTTTTTTAGTTTGAATTACTGTATGGAATAGATTAAGTGACAGGGGTACTGTATGCCAAAAACCATTATAAACTTCAAAACTTTATAAGACAATGATTATAAGGCAGACAGGACACTAATAATGTAGCTCTCATTATGTAATTACACTTAGGTAATTAAACATGAAACACATTTAACCACTAGACAGCGGTTATCGTTGATTCACAGGGTAATATGGTTATCGTCATACAGTACTATGATTTAAACAATTATTGTCTGGATTTGACATGTATGATGCAAATACCTGTAGGTATATAATAGCCCTCTGTGGATGTAATTGAGTTTACCTTGACCCATGAAAAAAAATCCTGCTATCATTTCATTGTTACATTACTAGGTGAATGTGCTTATAGTCATGAATGTTACTAGGGGAATGTGGTCATCATCATCATTGTATAAAATTCCATCATAATTACATGATATATATATACCAAAGATGTTCATATAATTTCCACAACTCCATATGGTTGTAATGAGGTATACCAGGTAATCCAATCATCAATCAAACTATTATCATGCATTACAGTATCCACTCAATTTAATGACCTACATGGGGCTATGTCCAAGTCGTTAAATCCAGAGTTCCACTAAATCCAGAGGTACAGTATTGAAATGTCAGCAACTTTTTAGTCAACTTAGGGAGAGCAATAGGATGGATGGTGGGTGGGCAGGACAAGTTGTCATTCAGTTTGGTAGGGCAAGTCCTATTATTTGTGTCAATCAATGGTACCTGGGAGTTAGACAGCTGCTACGGGCTGCTTCCTGGGGATGTGTATAACAAAATGGAGGCCTGGTCAAGGACCGGGCCGCAGGGACGCTAAGCCCCAAAATCATCTCAAAATAACCTCAAGATAACTAAGATGGTCATCAGGAAGTCATACCAAGATGCTGCTGCTTGTTTTGACAATAGGCAGCAAACACAGTTGAACAAAAAGTTCAATGTGTATAGAAAACACCTCGATGTTATGTAGGATACAATCTAAGGAACTGTCCTGGAATTTACAGGTGGTCATGGGTGAGGTTTGGCATGAGGTGCACGACTAGGACTCCCTCCTACTCTTTCCCTGCTTCACCTGACTTCAGCCCAACAGTTGCCATGTACAATTTAATGTGATATTTCTAAGTGTTGCAAAATATTGCAAAATACTTTTGCAATACATTTCTAAATGTTGCAAAAACCTAAATCTAAATTTAAGAATTGTTAAAAATTTAGGAATTTTACCTTGTAAAAGCAAACATGCTAAATAGGGTAGCATCAAGGTAGCAAGAGTTCTGATGGCCCTGGATCCCCCGATTCTTGCCAAACATCGCCCGAACTTCATCAGGAGTTGACAACGGTGCTACACTTCCTCCTACTGGCTGACAGTCCATACTGCCAAATGCTGAGAGTGGATAAATTATAAAACAATATATGAAGCAAATTTAAAACAAAGTCTGACACTAAATGATTGTTTCCACAAATGGAAACAATTACCTGATTAAAAATGTTGTCAACGTCAACCACCAGTTGTGAATGAGAATAAACTATTAAGCAGACATTATGTTCGGACCAATTGAGTCTTCCCTAACACAACACTTACTTTACACTAAACAATTTATTGCAATTATTTAATAAATAATAAACAATAAAAATTACTAAATACAGTACAGTGTATAAGCTATTAAATATATTTAAAAAAAAAAGTGTAACCATAAATAATTACAGTACCTGAGTAGCAGAGATAAGTGTTATTTATCCTCACAGCAACCCAACCCATGCCAGTGGTGTTAGTAAGGCTCAACATGCATACACAGTACACTTTATCAGAATCAAGCAAATCATCATTGTTATTGAAATCAATCAATAACATCAAATTAAGTAGGGATTAATGTTGTCAGTCAAAATAAACTAATAATTTGAGGAAGAAAAATACGGGTAGAAGAGCAAGCAAAACACCGAGTCATGTGGGGATCAAATACAGATTTATAACTACTGTAGTAATAAAGCTTTAGAAAATCCCCCTCAAGCCCAGTAAAGTGATTACTCAAAATACAACAGAAAAGTAGAATGTTGAGAGTCTTTAAATACCTCCAGAAGATTTCCCTGGAAGAAAGAAAAGGCTTTGAGTTTTAATGAAAAACCTCTCTCAGAGATGGATATTTGATTGCTTCCTAAGATATGATTAACTATGGCATTTGGCCAACATCAGTAAGACAAGGCAATATTGTCACATCATTGCTACTGGGAACAAATGATTCATGGAGTGTCTTACTGGTGTAAAGTAGCAGTGGAGAATATTCAGTCCATCTTAAAATGATCTCCAATAAGGTCAAAACACATAAATGCAATACATATCAAGCCTTGAAAGGCACCACAAGTAACCACCAATGGAAAGTTCTCAGTAACTAACAATTTAGCAGCCTGACTGCACAGTTCAGCTCATACCAGATGGCAGTACCTCACCAAAAACAGGGTTCCATCACCCAAGCCACCCCCACACACCTCCAGAACAAAACTGCACACAGGTTAAGTGGAGCAGCAGGCAACAGGAAGAGAACAGGAGAAACCTTGAGTCCTCACTTTAAGAGCATTTCATATAGTGTATACAGTATTGAATCTAAGAGCCATATTTCTAAGATATCTCACTTACGAGATCTCTCTCTTTGTACAGGTGCATGAATTACAAAAGAAAGACTAAATTGTATACAGACATGTATAATGAAGCTGTAATAAACTATCACAATAAAGAGAATGGGAAACCAATAAGCTAACAAACCAGACTTGAATGACAATTTAATTTTTAGCCAAAAATTTCGTGGTAAGGGCGCCTGACAGCCGAGTGGATAGCACTTCGAATTCGTAGTCCTGAGGTTCCGGGTTCGATCCCCAGTGGAGGCGGAGACAAATGGGCAAAAAGTTTCTTTCACCCTGATGCCTGTGTTAACTAGCAGTAAATAGGTACCTGGGAGTTTGACAGCGGACATTATTATTGGAACCAGCGACAAAACGCTGTGAACTGCCTCAATGACTCTAGAAATGGGCATAGCATGCCCACCCATCTTGAGCAGGAGTCCAAGGGGCACAATCCCTACAGAGCCTATGATGGATGCAGGCAAAAAAATTAAGTCACATAACTGTGCACTACAGAGATATATATAAAAATCCTCATGAAGGACAACAAAGCACTCTTGAGGAGGTTCTAATGAATCATCTAGAACAATCTCACGAGGCCTCCTTAACTTTCGCCATTCAATTTTGGTCACTGTATTACAGAGTGCACATCGGTATCCTTCACAAAATCTAATGTAGGATTACCAGGCTGATTCCCAGGATTTGGGATCATTCATACAAGGAGAGGCGAAGGATATTTGGTCTGCATTTCCTGTAGAAGCATAGGGTGAGGGTAAACAAGAGATATCAACAGAGGAGATATGAGCAAGGCCTTCAAACTATTAGGAACCCAAAATAATGACTAAGTTGTAGAAGATCAAATTCAAAAGGATATGGAGAAGTACCAGCTTGACAATTGGGTGGTCGATGAATGGAATAGGCTGCATGCCAATGTCATTTAAGCAAATGGTGTAGCTTTAAAAAAGGCTGGATAGATATTCCACATGGGACAGAGAGGTTGAATCTAGATGGGCACTGCTCTGAATGGGCAGCCTGGCATGTTTTGGTGATTTCTACTTCTTATGTTTTTTAAGTGGCCATCCTGATGACCTCAATTATTGTCTGAAGAAAGTATTGAGTGATTTGTTTCTGCTTTTTCCTTTTATGGAGTGGCTACTCTGGTGAAGGACTGAGAGTACTCTCCTTTGGCTTCCCTTACAAATCATACGATAAGACAATTGGAAAAGGTACTTGCTGGAGGTATGAAAGGTACCGAGGGCCTGGTATCTATCCAGTCCAAGGGTGGATCCTGGCTGCTAGCTCAGAGAGCAACCAGTTCAAGCTCAGATAAAAATCAGAATAAATTTTTTTTTGATAATCCCTAGTACAGTACAGTACAGTACAGTACAGTACAGTACAGTACAGTACAGTACAGTACAGTACAGTACAGTACCGTACAGTACAGTAATTACTAATTTTTTAAACTTAATAAACCACCATAAGGAAGATCAGCTTCATTGAAGATTTTATAAAGTATATCCTGTTTTCAATGAAAGGAATCCTTATTGGATATACATATACACACACAAAATCATTCACTGTAAGCCAAAACTATAATTATTTACAACATTTTATGAATTACAGAAGACGAATATTTCCAAAAAATCCTTGCTTCACTCCTACAACCAGAGAAGATACAACAAAAGTTTCCTTAGTCAAATTAAAATTTGCAATAACAAATTTTTTAAAGCCATAAACTCAAATTCAATTAGAGGAAAAGGGGAGGGATATTACTGTAAAAATTTTCCCAAATGGATAGCATGATCACTAAATGTGTAGAGATGAGGTACCTATTCACTACGGGGGTCACTATTCACAACATATAAACCCCTGAATTATACTGTTAACAGATAAAAATAGGCATGTAGTATAAATGAAATACTGGACTGACAAGCCATATAAGTTACCGTACTCACCTAAACTAGCTCTTGGGTTAGATGATATGGACTCGAGGAAACGGCTATCTTTATGACACATGCGTAGTGGGACAAACAATGCTTTCCCAGCTGGACATGTGAAATATCTCTTGCCACTGAAGGTTCCGTCTGATAAACCATCCTCTGCGTCCTCCTGTAAAGTGTTGTACAGTATTCTTAATACAAATATTAGAAAGAATTTCTTCAGTGTCAGAATAGTTAACAAATGGTGAAGGTAGACTTCATATACAGTTTCCAATGTAGATATGACAGAACCCAATAGGATTAGGAACCTGTACACCAGTTGTCAACTGTCAGGCTGGACCAGAGAGCCGAAGTTCAACCTCTGCAAGAACCATTAGACGAGTGCATGCCAATGATAGTCTGATGTAATGTAATCAACTAGATGTCATGGCAGTATTCACATCTTAGTGAATTACCATGCTGTACTCACATTACCCAGCTTACTTTTGTCAACATTTACTCATACACACATCACTACTTCTTTGAAGACTAATAAGTAACAACATTCAATAATCTTGGCTGCAAACCATGAAAGACCATACCATTATCATAACCTTAGCACTGGAACACACTTACCATCTCCACACCAGCAACTTTCCTTCCTTCCTTCTTGTCTCCAGGAACAGTACCAATCCATCTGATCACACCAAACCTGAAAAATATATGGCATAGTTGGCAAGCAGCTAAACAGTGGTAATGCCATTGTACATGTGAATACTGTATACTGTATACCTAAAATACAATGCATATTAGTCACTTGGCAAGCATATACAGTACCTAACTTAACACTTTATCAATAGTACTGTAGTTTAACTGTTACTCTCATCTACAAATATTTTTGTATCATTTTTGTAAATAAAGGTTATCAATATAAATATATTTGTATACAATTCCCAGAGTGTTTATTATGCATGCCTTGCCTTCAATGTAAGGAAGGGACCTTTCATATTATGTTTTAATGTTCGAAAAGCTTTTAAATGCGTCTTGGGGAAAAGTGGGATTTGAATCTCGCCATGAGCAGTCGCATATTTACGATGGGTGAACTGTTTCCCTGTAAATAGAGGTAAGCAATGGCCCTAGTTTATATATATAAACAGATACCTGTATAAGTATATTTTTTTGATTGGAAAACATTATCAAAATATGTGTTAAATGCAGAAATCCAGTCTGAACCTTTATAAGAAGTTATACAAAATATAATGTGAAATTAACAAAATCGGAATGTTTTGGTGGGAATGACAAGGTGGCAGTCGGGCATTGTGTGAGGCCAGAGTGTCAAGTGTGAATGGTCGAGTCCAAGCTCAAGGTTTCTGTAGCAATCATGTCACCATTGGTGGTTTATCTTCCCCAGAACCCTAAGAATCTGTCAGTATGGTTAGTGTGGTGCTAAATATTTATTATAACTCTGGAATATCTTTCTGTTGTACATTTAAGTGTAGGGTTGATATCCAAGTTGGTACCTGGCAAGTGTTCCGGTTTCTTGCCGTGTGTTCAGTTCTGGTTCTTATAAATATCACTGTGACCCAATGAGTTTTGTTATTTAAGAACTAATTTTCATAAATTTTACAAATTATGTTCTTTGTATATAGCTGTACAATTTGGAAAGAATAAATTTTAAAATTTTAATTATATTTTGAGTTACAGATTTTCAAAAGTGCAGTTTTGTTAGTAGGATAATGAGTCATTCAACAATTTATTTTTCCATCAACTTTTAGAATGTTACTTTAGACTGTATTCTACTAGTTAAATTCAATTTCTTTTAAATTGGTTAGATACTCTATAATCTTGGAATTGTTTAAAGTTGTAATTTTTTTCCATTTCCTTTCGGGTTTCAATGCTTAATTAAACTTGGGTGGAGATTCATCTTATAAGTTAGATTTTGTAAATACCATTTCATAAGAATCAGATGTTTTTTATTGTTACCCATATGAATGAATATGATTCGGGCCCCTTTAAAAAGTCAAAATGGGTCAAAAACATTAATATGAATTCATTTTCATTACACGGAGATTCGGGTTACAGTACCACAATCTGAATTACCATACTCTTAAAGTACTGGTTAGGAACTAGCACTATTAAGAGATACTGTGGAAAAGATAACAATTATTATTATTATGTTGGAATTTTGGTCCAGGGTCAATCACCGATATGACTGAAATGAATTTCCATAAAATATACTTACCTAGGAACTTCCTTGATGACCACCTCAACCAGTGAACCAGTGTCTAAGTCTTCTTCAGTGCCCTCCACGCTGCCCTCAGGGGTTTCATAAACGCTGCCGTCTCCATCAGACACAACCTCTAACTGGTCAATCCCTAAAATTATCTTTAAATTTAAGTACCATAAAGAAAATAGCATATTTCTTAAAAGTACACCAACAACTATAAATTTATGATATATTTTGAGCATTGTTTTTTTGGTTATTATTTTGATGTTATGTATATGCATTGTAAGTACTGTATTCAGGAGATGAGTTTTCCCAACCAAAATTTAGAAAACTGCTTGCCTGATGCAGTTGTATACAATATTAAACATAATTACTAATGATATCAATTTTGTTCCTACATATAATTAAAGATTCATCATCAAGCTACAAATTTTGTCAAGAGAACTACCTGTTCTCTTGAAGAGCAAAGCTTACAGTCACCAAAATGGCAACATAAGATATATCCATTGTACAATGATGCAAAACTACATTATATTTTTACCATGAAGAGATAAATGATACAAGGGATTGACAGGCATCTCTGAATCACCAAGTCCTACAATTGGAGAATTTTGTTCAATATCGTTGTTTATTTGTGTCGGCCGGCCACTCATTCCAGAAGATTTCCATTTATTGTTCTTTTTATCTAAATTGCGATTTAAAATTTTACTCTTGTCCCGTTGACGAGACTTATGATCATGCAGTGTCTCCTGCAAAAAAGAAAAAAATTATTTATTTTTTATATACAGAGGACAGAGATTAGAGAGCTGTCTTAGTTTATGGTCAAAAGTAATTTTAAGGCAATCCAAAGGGTTGGAAACCAGAGGAGCATATATCCAAGAATCAGAAAGCAAAACTTCGGCCTTCTGAAAGTAATCCACACAATCAAGAACAACCACTGAATTGCCTTTGTCAGAAGGAAGGATAACAACAGCATTGTTAATTTTCAGGAAAGAAAGGACAAACTGACAGTGACAAGGAAGGTGGTGATTTTTAGAAAACTCCGTCAAGAGCAGGAATTAGGCACCCCCCTCCCCCCCCCCCCAGCAGGTACAAGGTTCAAAAAGTATTAGAGTTAGAATAGTGAAACAGATCAAGAGAACTAACGAGATCAATGCCACAGTGCGGGCCAGGCAAAGTAGCAAAATAGCAAGACAAAGACATTACCCCAGTCTGGTAACACTCTGCCTCAGGCCTCCCATTAAACCTAATCCCAGTCTAGTAACTCTGTCTACTCATGCAATGTCAGTAATCTATATATTGCATGTTTTATTTTATTTTATTTATAGTTCTTTTAAAATATAGTTGTGTTTCCACTAAATTTTTAACATTCACAAACCCTACTCTTTCTTTTTTCTTAAACTCTCCAAGATTTCTACTTAATGCTGTATCTCTTCTTGTATTCCCCTCATCCTCCTTATCTTTCAAATAACTTCAACGCATTTCTAATATTTTTTTATTCTAGTCAAGTTAAAAAACTTATTGATACTCACCTTATTACATGATATCATATTTTTTGAAGTGGTGTAGGTCATGTGAGGAGCCAGCTCCCAGTCCTTCTCAGAGTACGGTGGTGGCGGCCCACTGCCTCGCTGACCAGATGCTGAGAGCTGCTCATAAGCTAGGATGTGAAAAGGTGTCATGCTTGACATGTCGCTGCCAAGTTGACTGTCGTTCTGTAAAAATCAAGCACTGACATTAATATCCCTTTTGATCACAAAGAAATTATAATGGCATGCTATATGAATGAGAAAATCATTTTGGGGTAATGGGACGATTTGAACCAGCATTCTGGCGATTTCTAGACACCTGCCTTGATCCACTTGGCCACAATAGGACAAAGCCAACCAGTCCATAAACAACATATTTTTATTATTCCCATCTTCCTCTGTAATGTCTTTAAATGCTATAGTCAACATTATAATCCAACTGTCAAGTCACCTGGTGTTAGAATCATCTGAGGCACTCATTCCATACTTATCTTAAATGCCAAATAATAATGACTAATTATGTGTTTTGACTGTGACTGTGTTTTTAAGGTTCCTCATCTATACACATCAAATCCTGACTTAATCCATCATAATTATAGCTTTCTGAATATCAAGAACTGACAGTTTTCTATAACCAGACATGTAAAAAAAATTTTAAGTTATTGTTTCCTCTTAAATATTACTCAGATTTGTAAATATAAAGGTAATATATTAAAATACAGTAGCTAAACAAATCTTTTTTTTAATTTTATGCTACACTTAGATGCAGTTTTGTTAATCTAGGAAAGGATGATGAGAAGAACAGCCAATGACTGGTGACTTTACCCTGTCTCGGACATGAAAGGAAATGAACTTGAATTCTCATATTTAATATAATCATAACAACATTGCAGACAAAATGGAAAAGAAATTGTGAATGGACAATCCTTTTTTAATGATATACTGAAATTTATTATAATCTGTACAACTAAAAAGATGCAACACAATACGTAAGCTTTTAATTTCTGCATCACTAACTATTGTACTTACTTTTGATATTAGATGTGCGGGCCGCTTTCCACTTGAATTACGTCCACTTGGATCTGCTCCAAAAGCCTCTTTACCAAGAACATCCTCAGCTTTCATAAGATTTGTTAAGGGCATCAGAGAAGCATGATTTATTTTAGCCTCAAACAACAACTTTCCACCGACTCTGTGGTTGTCTTCACCTACAGGATTATCCTACAGAAGAAAATGTATCGCACTGTAAACTTGATATTCCTGCATTTGCAACTGATGTCGTTCTCTACATAAGCAAATTCAGTATAGTTTAATAATATTTATTTATATATATATATATATATATATATATATATATATATATATATATATATATATATATATATATATATATGTGTGTACTTTTATTTTTTAAATTTAAAGCAACTGGGGAGTTGTTAATGGATATGTAAATTCTGTTGGTGAAATGGTTTGATTCTGATGCATATTATTCAAACCATCTGATTTGATTTTTAAATATTTACCATAAAAGGTTTATTGATTAATAAAATCATAACAAGAGCAAGACAAGGAATTAAATGTTTTAAATTAACTGTAACTCACAAATTCCACTCCAACCATCCATGATCCGGACTCGTTCATTCCTGGCAACTTCCCAGTCCACTGTACTACACCAAACTCGGGGTAATCCTCACTCAGCCACACTACGCGGTCCCCAACACTAACGCTGCACTCCTCACTTCCACCTGCCATTGTCATTATTCCCAAGGATGGGAGAATTATCATACTTTATTATCATAATGGTAACAGAGGATTTTCTTTAGATAAACCTTTGCTTAAACATAATAGTTTTACACCAAACACATGGAGCAGTCAAGATAGCTCAGAAATAACAATTTAACTGCATATAACAAGACTTTTCCGAATAGTATACTGTACTCTGTTACTCCAAGGCAGCTGGGACTTTTTCCCCATCTCTGCTGAATTATAATAGTATCAGGAAGACAAAATACAATATTCAATCCAGTTAGGAATGTAGAAAGAACAGTGCATTATATCAGCTCAAAAGCATTTCTATGCACAGTTTGGCATCAAAGAGATTGTGAAAGCTACATCAAAGCAAACTGTTGAACAGCCCAATAGGCAACTACCAACACCACAACAAAAGAATTCATGTCGACGCTGCTACATCCTCAATGCCAGGATATGAAAAATCACAACCAAGCAAAAGATGACTACACAGAAAGAGCAGGATTAAGAGCAACCAAATATAATGCCCAGAAAAGTGTTTTTCATATATTGTACACTCGTCTCAAAGCTTAATCTCCAAGGTACAGTACTTTATACAACTCTGTTTCTTCCCTAGGCAAGAGCCTGCATGAGTCCGGGCTGCAAAATACTAGTATAATCTGAAGCTAAGGGGAAAAAATGCGGCAGATAGTAACCACATCACCCTGGTATCCCGTGTCAGTCCCAATCATACTAAGTTTTGAAAAAGTAGGAGATGCAGCCTTCAACTTTTATAAGAAATCTGAAGAAACCTGGCGAAATCAACACACAATCCCAAAGTAGTAAGCAAGATTGAAGCCTAAATGAGCCAGTTGTCGAAGTAAACCAAGATGCTCAAAAACGAATCTAGGCTGGATCCTATACTACAGTCTTGTACCACATCACATTAACCATAGTTGATAATGGACCTGCCACAAAGCCCCAAGCCAAGGAGCTCCTGATTTTCCCTGAAAAAACTACTCCAATTGGTTACTTAAACAAATATTAAAAAATCTGTCAACATGGCACAATACCCATATACACTACTGCATAGTTTTCAATAACAAGATGTATGGTATGTGCTGTTATGCATCATGTAGTACAATCCTAAGTAATTCTGTGTTACAATATTGAAAATAAATCAATCAAAGCTTCCATGGCTCACCACCCCTTCAGCCTGGTCTCTATCAAGTCTTCAATTAAAAATTCATTATAAAATGCTACCCAAATCCAGTATCATCCAACAGCTATAGGGGTCATCACATGTTAAGGTAAACTGTGACAGGAATCAGTTGATGGATAAAATGATACAGTATATAATAAACACTGTAAATCTTAACAAAAACTGCTTTAATAAAAATGCTTTCCATGGATGCAAATCCTCTAAAACAATTCAAGATACAGTACCATGTTCTGCTTGCGACAAACTTCAAGCAATCTCACTAAAAATGTTTGAGATACAGTATTAAGTTCAAAATCTCAACACGGAAGGAAATTACCGGGAAGTTGCCAAATTTCCCAATGAAGCTAAAGAAGTGTGTGGGGTGGTGTTACACATCCTATATTCAATACAGCACACTATATACTAAAACACACATGCTTAAAGTTTGAAGTGAATCTGTTAATCATTCTTTAAATAGTGCCTGTTAAATGATGGAAGAGAGCAAAATAAATGTAGTATTAAATAAGTAAACTAGCTAAATACCATAAGTAATTTTAACTCCTAAACATTTCACCAACCTTTTCCTCCACTAGTATGAACTTTCCGGCGTCCACCTTCCATCCTGTCCAGATGTTCTGTACTACATAGATCTGAAAGTGAGGCAATATATCTAATATAAATTGGAAATACACACAAATAAAGCAGTCCATGCACTTTACAGTGCTAAGGTTTATCACCGACTAATTTCTTTGCATCTGCAGCAGTCTGCCAAGTAATGAATTCCTACGATGCAAACAAGTAGCAGATGCACCACATGGTTGTCATTTACCTTCCTGGACTAACTATATGTGCTTGTATTTGGCATCGACTGGAGCAAGTTAGTCTCGGAACTTTAATATCTAGGATCTGTTCTCTAACCATTTGACCATGATGTCTGTTGTTGCACACAAACAATGAAAATTTCCCAATAGCCACACACTGGGAACTAGTAGGCAGCTGATCACATCTTAGCTATGAACCGACATTACAAATCACTATACAACTGAGACTATTTGCCTATGCCTTTCAAGAGTGACCATTTTCAGGCATTTCAAACATAAATACAAAATCATATTACAATTCACATCAAATGTGCTCTTTTGATCTTTCAAGGAAGAAGGGTATACAATGCAGAGACATCTGATAAGATTTTTTATAACTTCTACAATATAATACAAATAATCTTCAAACCTTACAAGAAAAAAGAAAAGATCCTAGCATAAGTATACTTAATACATGAGAGAAGTCAATGGAGGAACCCCACACAGGTGGAAATATCAAAACCAAAAGAAAATGGAATCACATTAAGCAAAATAGTGTTAATAACCAAACTCCAGCCAGTAAACAATTCCATGCATTACCCTATCATTTGACTATACTCACAAGTGCTGCAACTTCCCAAGCTGAACAACCTGAAAGTAAAACAATACTATAAAAATATTTTTGGGGGATGACAAGCGGTAAAATACATGTGCACATTCAGTACGTACACATCGACAAGTTAGCCATGCTTATTAAACTGGAGTTTTAGGTATTGTACACACAAAATAATTATTACAATACGGCAATTATTACACATGGACTTTTATCTACATTAGTTTATGACAACAATAATTTACTACAATATACAGTACTGTATATTATCACTGACATTGGCTTCTTACAGTAAATGTTACAATGCATGCTGCACATGGATCACTATAGTGACACTGTACATTGTTGATACCAATTAATTAAAGTGATTAAGTTTATATAAGCAGTATCCAGCATTAAATTAAAGATCCACCAAGAAAACATTTACATGTAAACAATATGTTTCTATTGTTTAAAAAGCAATATCAAATGTGCTCATTTGATCAGCATCAAGTGTTAATCTTAAATCATCCTTGCAAATAATAAGTCAAATTTAAATGTAGCAATGCCACTGAAGCCCTGAGTGACCAGAGCTTCTACCTGGTGGTGGTCAGGCACATCACAGTTAGGATGTTGACGCCACAATACCGATTGTCTTGTCACCTCATAGAACAGAATTTTCTTTAACCTGTTGCTTATTCTACTGTTGTTAGACTTTGTTGTGGCTTTTTTGTTTTTGGGTTGATCTCTGACCCCAAGCTCTCCTCACCTTGTAGAGAGTCAGTGTCTGGCCCTGGTTCTTGGTAGGCAAGAGTGCATCTCAGAAGCTTGATGTATGTATGTATGTATGTATGTATGTATGTATGTATGTATGTATGTATGTATGTATGTATGTATGTATGTATGTGTGTGTGTGTGTGTGAGGCAAGGGTGGGCATCAGAGGTTTGGTGCATCTTTATATGGCATGGCCATGCTAGTACCTAGCTCAATATTTCTTGGGAAGCCCTCCAAGAAATATTGAGTTTACAGTATAAAAAACACAAATACACAGAAAGCAAATACTTCACAGTACCAGTACTTGCTATAAAAGACACAAATGCAACAAAAACATGATTTTGCATAATTTACAAATACTGTAAAAATAAATATCTTAATAAAAACCAAATGAACACAAGACTTTTAGCATATTATATTGTCAACAACAATAGCAGATGAAATGAAGTAATAGTTAATCAATAACATACATAATGAAAGTGAGGTAAATTGTCTTTAATACTGACATTTTTTGCATTATACAGCTCAAACTTTTTCTCTAGGGTTGGGAGGCCCAACCCACATTAGTGTCAAATAGGAGAACAATGAATGATCACATATCAGGGTAACATTAGCACTAGAACTAGAGATTAAGATTCAGAAATGTTTCTTTCAGAGGGTATCGTTTAAACTAATAACAGCTAGGAACCTATAGTTCCTAGGCTGTATAATGGTCGCAGTTTACTAACCTCATATTCTGTAAGTACAGTATCTTGACAGATACTGAATATGAATTAATGTAGACCCTTGTTACATGCTGTTACCTCTTTCCTCATGTATATAAATTAACTAATTTCTCTCATAAATTAAGTAGTGCATAGCAAGGTAAGGTTTTTTTGGTTTGACTGTACCTGTATTGTAATATAATTTTAAAATAAACAATATGCCTTGCTCAATTCTCTGAATACAATGAGCACACCCCAGGAGCATCAATATATAAAACTGGATAAGCATCACTGAATCACTGCACTGTGATAAGCATCACAATGATCACTGAATAAGTGTCTGAAACGTTCCTATCATTGCTGAACCACATTAAGTATTCCTTAACCAGTCAGACCACATGAGTAAAATATCTATTATCCTGTTAGCCAGCAAAATATTTATTAAATGAAAAGTTCTTGCAACAGAGTTGTGTTACAGCATCAGGATGCATTTTAACCAAGAAAACCTTACCTAGCCTTGCATCATAGCGAATGGGTTTCCATACCATTTATCAAAACATGGAAAGCAGGTCCTACGGGAAATTCCAGCTTGCAATCTCCAACAAGTACTAAAGGCACTACACCTGAAGTTTATCAAACAATATCCTGCCTACAACATTCAGTTTTTCACCTGTTTACTCCAGTATGAGTCATACTAGTTAGTCATTATGTCACCGCACACCCTGGCAGAGGAAGCACCCACTCCACCTCGTCACCTCTCTCACCCTCTACACACACCCAAGTCTCTGGGCCACACCTGCAGTAACACTCGTCCTCCGAGGTTATATAGCCATATTGTATATACGGGGAGTCTTATTCCGTGTTGTAGCGAGAGTAAAGGAGCCGAGGAGGCGGAGGAGGAGCCAGCGTTCCCTGTTTGGATGTAAACATTGAGCTGCGCTTCTTGTTTTGATTTTGACCTTTAAAGGGACCAACCGTATAACCTCACTGCAACACATACCAACACATTTACAACAATCAAAATTAATTTACAACCAATCTATATCTCTAATAAGTAACATAGCAATAAACGTTTATGGGTTACAATGGGCGAGTAGGTAGGAGTGGGGTGATAAAGAGGAAGGTTAGAGAAGTGGTCCCTGGCGCGGTGCAGACGACCAGGCGGCCGACCACACTCTCCCCGCACGGGAAAGTTGGCAATTGTCGTGTGAGACCATGTGTCCCTATTTGGCGGCAGGTGAGTCCACACCTTCACCCTCCTATGTTCCATCTTGGCTCATAACATTAGCTGATGGGACGCTAGATTACTGAGGCGAGTGGTGCAACGTGTGTGGCTTTATATGTGTGTGCATGGTCCTAGAGGCAAGTACTGAATTTAATTCCCTAAGGCGGCAGGACACATTATGTACTAAAAAGTAGGCCTACATCATTTGTAAATGAATACTTATATAATGCAGTATCAGAAATAGTCGCATTGGCATGACTCTTAACACACTTGGAACCCGTATATGTGATAAGAGAAAACTATCTGTCCTCAGCTTGTAACTTAATAACAGTACAGGACTGACTGAAAATATTTCTTGTTGCCACAGATATATATATGTGGTGTGGTTGAGTGTGCAAGCTCACGGAGAGAGGCCTCAGGGAGGGATACAGTCACCATCTTACAGTGAACAATCTTGTACAATCAACACAACACGGGTTTGTTATAGAGATCCTGCCTTACACACCTGCCACACTTGGACACGGTCACCACCTATTCTGACAAAGGCTTTCAGGTGGATGTACTATACATGGATTTTGCTCAAGCCTTTGATAAGGTGCCACATGAACTACTGGCAAGGGAATTACATGAATAAGGAATAAATGGTAAAATAGTAGAATGGTTAAAACAAAGAAAACGGTCGAGCTAAATGGGAATGAATCTGACTGGAGAAATGTGGTAAGTGGGGTACCACAGGGCTCCATTTTGGGACCAACCCTTTTTGTCATATACATCAGTGACATAGATGTGAATATTGCAAACATCATCAAATATGAAGATGACACTAAGATTTATGGTAAAGTGGGAAGTGAAAATGATATTGAAGGCCTTGCAAAGCAATCTACATGAACTCCACTAATGTTCAAAAGACAGGCAAATGCTGTTTAACATCGACAGTGTTAAGAAGCATTTATGCCCCCCACAACCCTGTATGCGGGGCATAACAGCCCATGCCACAACAACCAAATTGATTAAGAAAAAGATCTTAGAGTCAAAATCCTCCACTCACTGGAAGCTGCATAATAGAAGCATCAGTAAAAAAAGCTAACCAAACCCTTAGAATAATCACGTGTACCTTTGACTTTAAGGAAATGAAGTTAGTGATATAATTGTATGAATCTCTGGTGTACCCCCACTTGGTTTATTGTATCCAAGCATGTAAACCTCATCTTCAGAGGGACATAGCTGCTCTGGAGAAAGTTCAACATCGGGCAACAAAAATCATTCCAGAACTAAGTCAGCTCTCATACCAGTAGTGGTTGGGAGCTTCAGGGTTAACAACACTGTAAACCAAGCATAACAGGGCAGATCTCAAATAAACTTTTAAAATACTAAACACTTTAGAGGATGTTGATCCTGACAACTTCTTCAAAGGGTCAGATGTAACACAAACAAGGAACAATGGTTTCAAGCTCAACAAGCCACAATGTAGGATTGAAAACATGAGATGCCTTCACCCACAGGGTTATAAACTCATGGAACTGCCTACCCGCAGAAGCTGTAACTGCCAAATAATCCAGCTAAAAAATATCATCAGGACTAATGGGGGGACCTTTGACAACCTGTCCTCATCAAGGCCACTAGTGTGTTAGTGGCCCTGAGGTAAATTCAGGTATATATGATATTTTTAAACAAGTGATCTGCATTAATATTCTCCAGTGTTCAGTATTTTAAATGTGAATAAGTATCACACTATGGAATGTGGAATAGGATAAAATAGCCCATGCCACACACCACCTGCAAATTTTGTGAAAAGACATTAAAGAACTTGGACAAAGAGATCTAAAGGTGGTTCTGATAGTAAACTGTCACGAGAGGACCACATAAAGGACATTGTGGGAGGAGCCTATACTATGCTTTCCAACTTCAGAATAGCATTTAAATACATGGACATGAAATACTAAAGAAATTCCTCGTGGCTTTTGTTAGACCAAAGTTATATGCTGTTGTTGGCTCATATCTTAGGAAGTGCATCAGTAAACTGGAAAGGATGCAAAGACATGCAACTAAATGGCTTCTGGGGGTGAAAAAGAAGAGCTATGAGGGAAGGTTAGAAGTGTTAAATATACCAATGCTAGAAGATAGACGAAAAAGAGGTAATATGATCACTACATACAAAATAGTAACAGGAATCAACAAAAACAAAGATGAATTTTTGAAACGTGCAACTTCAAGAACTAGAAGTCTTAGATTCAAGCTAAGGAAACAAAGGTGCCAAAAAATATATAAGACAGTGGTAGACAGATGGAACAATTTAAGTGAGAAGGCGGTGGATGCTTTAACCATCAGTGATTTCAAACCGTCATATGATAATGAGTACAGTACTGGGAACAGGAGACATCATGGATGTAGCTCTCATCCAGTAACTACACATGAGTAATTATACTTAGGTTATTCATCCACCCCCTAAGTGTAATTACATGTACGTAATTACCCTGTACAGTATATAAAGTTATAGATTTTTTGGTGGGGTGAGGGGTGAGTTGGAAACTAATAGTTTTCATTGCTTTAGCCTTGTAGCAGACAACCTATTATGCACTACTATAACTGCACTTAGTCTTATTAAAAACTCTGGGTTGGATAATCTCATGGATCTTCTTATACGCCCAAAGTTGATTGAGCAAAAATGCTATTTTGTAATACAGTATACATCTAATGAATGTTTATGCCAGTCCAGAGAAGAAACTAGTACCCATAATTTTACTGTACACTTAAAAAAAAAGTGTTTTCATTATAGACTGATTAATACTGTATGTAGGTGTAACAAAAATATTTGCTATTAAAAAATTAATTATGATGAGTATGTTGCTAGACTACATTACAATGATAAAAGTATTCCATTAGTAGTCCTCATAAACTAGGGTACTGTATTAGCCATGCTTTTCTCTATATTGCTTTGGGTACTTACATTTTGCATAGAGTAACTAATGGGAGTGTTAGCATAAGGTTGGTATTCTGGCACTGGTATGGTGGTGTTGCAGCATCCTAGTGTCCAGTAGGAGGAAAGAGCGTGGCAGCCGCCTCCACCCCATGACCCAGCCCCTCGCACCCCTCATCCGCCTTGCTTCTAGCTATGGCAGCTTGTCGCAGGAAGGTTCAGGTATGTATGCACCCTACCTCCTGTAGCAGGTTTACAGCTTTATATCTTGTCTTGACCCTTGCACCCCCTCATCCGCCTTGCTTCTAGTTATAGCAGTTTGCTTTAGAAGGTTCATATATGTTCGCACCCATGTCTGCTACCAGGTTTACAACTTCATACCTTGTCATTAAAATGCACACACACACATACCTAAAACCAACTTTTGCAATGATAACTTTTTTATATAAGTTATTTATCTTGTAATGCTGCTTAGTTTTAGATGATCATAGTTACATCTCTTCCTGTTGCTCCATAGCACAACACTTGCTTTGCAAATTGCATGTTAGTCATTCTTATTGGATTCCTACTGCTTGTGTGTAAACTTCACACTGTATGCAGTAATTCTGTTTTGAGGTCTGACTCCTGTGACTGATGTGACTCCAGTAGTGGGGAGTCATTGGGCTCTACCAGAAGAGGCTGTTCATTGCATTCAATGCTGGATTCTATTTATTTACCTGAATTTACCAAATGGCCACTAACACTAGTGGCCTTGATGAGGACAGGAAGCTGGCAGGTTGTCAAGGATTCCCCCACTTGCCCTGATGATTTTTCCCAGCTGGATTTATAATAATAATAATTTATAATAATAATCTATTAGATAAATAAAATATAAGACAAGACATATTTCCAATAATGAAAATCATTTGATTTGTCAGTCTTTTGATCATTTGTGGAGTTCATGTAAGTCATTGTGCAATGTATCAATATCACTTCACTTTATACTTATAACTATGAAAAATATGAGAATAGATTATTATGTTCTTGTGTTCTTATGTTCTTATTCCTATTACTATACCCTTTATTTCACCTTACCTTTCGTACCTTTTGCCTTGCTCTTCTTCCTCTAAGATTTTCTTCTCACCTCTCTCTTGCCTATTTATTGCCTTTAACTCCTTCCCTCATCCCAACGACTTGAGAATGGTCCAGGACAGACCGAAACATCGTCGTCCCTTCACTTTCTAGTGTGTGGTTTGGTCAACAATAGATTATTATTCTCTTACTAGGAGCGTGTAAATTCCTCAAGTCACCACATAGTCAAATGTATAGACATGATTGCCAATTATACCATGTACAGTACCAAACCTGCCTTTTTCTATTTTAAAGTCTCATTTTATTATGTTTTTGGATTATATTTCACCCAAAATTATACTTGCAGGTGTTAGTGGTGCTTTTACTAACACTGGTTCCACGACCGGGCCCTCTGGAATCACGTCCACCTTGCACCCGGGACAAAGCGGCACTAGTCAGGAAGCTTATCAACAAGGTGAGTGGAATATGAGAATTTTTTGTACTGTATAAATTCTCAAGTATTAAAACATCTACACTTTTTTTATCTTTTTATTTATTAATTTACAGTATACTGTATACAAGAAGGTAGAGTACAATACAATACAATACAATACAATACAATACAATTTTATTTAGGTAAGGTACATACATACAATAAATATTTACAAGGATTGTTTGACTTATAGGTAGAGCTAGTACATACAATGCCTAAAGCCACTATTACATTGAGTTTGGTATAGTGCACACATTCACACTTGAGGAAAATACAGTAATCCATTTAAACATTGTCATTCTGTACATCATCTTTTTTCTCTATACAGATATTTCTATACTGACTATTTCTTCTATAATAATAATAATAATATTAGTAATAATGATTAAAATAGTTTAATAATTTTAAGTAAAATAATAGTTTATTTAGGTAAAAGTATATACAAAATGAGTTACAGTACAAGCAGAATGTTAGATTTTTAGATAGAGCTAGTATATACTGTGCTTAAAGCCAATAATATGCACAATGTTCTGGGCAAGATGTGGGAAAAAATCAGCATTGAATGTAATGAAAAGCCACTTTCTGGGTGAGACCCGGAGGCTCCTCAGAGCTATCCAGGATGATATTACTAATGTCAGACTTTGGTATCAGTCATGTGTATGGAGTTCTTTAGGCCTACCAGGGACCCCGAGCCAGAACCTGGCCCCCTCAGAGAGGCATGAGGAGCAATGGCCTGTAGAAACCCCCCGTAGTTGGAAGCATTCTATGCCATCGACTGAGTCAGGCACCCAGAAAAGTAAATACCCCCAAAACAAACCCCTATTCTGGTTAAGAAATTGCTATTGAGAGCCGAACTAGTGGACAGAACTCCCAAAATAAAAATGAGCTAACAAGCATTATGGAGTATTAAAACATAAGGGGAGTATTTATTTTATTTTGGGAGTTCTGTCCACTAGTTTGGCTCTCAGCAGCAATTCCCTTTCCAGAATAGGGGTTTGTTTTGGGATGCTTACCTTTCTGGACGCCTGACCTGAGGGGGGCCAGGTTCTGGCTCGTGGTCCCCGGTAGGCCTAAAGAACTCCATACACATGACTGATGCCAAAGTCTGACATTATCAGCCTGGATAGCTCTGGGGAGCCTCTGGGTCTCACCCAGAATATGTTAGCAGTTAGCTAAAGATGGACTTTATTTAGTTCAGTGTTCACTGTGTCATTCAGAATAAGAGGGTTAGGACTGGAGAAGATGAAGGGTGTGTCATCAGCAAATAAAATTGGCTTGAGATGTTGAGAGGCATTTAGAACATCATTAAGAAAGAGGAGAGGGCCAAGTATGCTGCCCTGTAGAACACCAACGTTAATAGGTAGGGTGGGGAAATTGGACTCATTCACAGAGACATACAGTACTGGAGGTTGTCACTGAGGTAAGATTGCAGGTATTGAAGGAATACTTTATGTACAGATAGTCTTCCTGTCTTTCAGTGATTTCTTTATCTTTTCACATCACCTTCCATAACTACCTCCACATTTTTTCAGTTATCTGTACAGTATATACCACTCAAACCTCCTGAGGCTTCAGTATTTTTACACTTTAAAGACTGAAAACTAAAGGTTTGACATTTATAAAATAAACAATTTCATTGGTTTATGTTTCTGACATTGTATAATGAGCTGTCAGAAAATAATATACAGTAATTGTTTTTGGTTACATAACGCATTTTAAATAATTGTACAGTACAGTATTTTAATAATTGTGTTATAATTATATGTATTACCTGTATCAGCGGTGGGTGCCGGTTCTAGAGAAGTTTGGAGTGACGCTGCCTTTAGAGTGCCCACTTCATGCTGCCCGGGATGTATTTGCACAGCAGGAGGCAGCTAAGGTACATGTACCACCCCAGTGGACATGTGGCCTCTGTGGGAAGTCCTTTTATCATGAGGCGCACCTTGATCGTCACCTTGACAACAGGCATGAAGACTACCTCAATAACGTAAGCTGGTCCTGCCATTATATAGAATTCTATTCTTTATTTGACATTTTATCTGGGAATAATCAGAAAATTAGTGGCTCTGTATAAAATTATACAATGACTATTATGGCATGAAAACTCTTTAAGCTTTCCTTGTTACTGTACTGTAAGAGCTTGGTACAGTAATTCAATTTCCTGTAACCCAAATGAATTCATGTTTCTCATACACAGTTAAATGACAGGAGTAAGCAGGTAACTGATAAAAATATGAGGGTAAATGGCAGGATTAATTGGGTAAATTACCTAAGTGTAGTTACAGGATGAGAGCTGCACTCTGTCATATGATGCTTTGAAATTACCGACGGTTTTGGCCTCCACCACTTTCTCACCTAACTTGTTCCAAGTTTACAGAGAAGTTTGGTGCAGCTGTGCACTGAACAACAGCTACTGGGAAACTGGCTCATTTGTTATGTGTGTGTATATTTGAGTGTCAAGCAAATGTCAACTACCGAGCACTTTTGTTCTCGGATAAAGTGTTTGTGTGCCAAATTGTTCGTGTTTGGAGCCATTCAAGTGCCGAGGTACCAGTATACATTGAACAACGTGGGAATTAAGGTTATCCCAGTATAGAAACAAGTTGATTTTCTTATCTAACTTCTTTAAGTCTGATTTTTAGGAATAAAATTTTTAAGAATGAGGCTTGATTAAATATCGGTAAGTAAAAAATTGAGGCTACATAATGTTATGTTTTCATGCTCCATTATCATTACAGGGAGAGGATTCTGTGTGCCTAGCAGATTTTTGTGATGTGATGCGGTGTGAGGTGCTGCTGGAGCGTCTCCGAGACTTTGACGATGCGCCACCTTCAGCCACAGCTTTAGACTTGTGGCACCAGCCATTATTACTGTCTTCCCCCTCCATGCACCAAGCTCAGTCACATTCAGGTATTCCATGTTTGCTTCCCACTTTCCTAAATATCTGCATAGTTTGGGATGTTATCATCAGTGCAGCCAATTCACAATCAAAGGATTCCAGATTAAATTCTCACAGCTTGTTTCCTTACATCTGATTTTCCTGTTCACATAGTGGTAAATAATTATCTAGGAGTTAGGCAACTGTTTTGAGCTACATTTTTGGAAGGGTCAGTAGTTGGCCTCGAAGAACCTTGAGAACCTAGCAGACTTATTGTCCCCCAAGAATAGGAAACCATATTGTAGAGAGGGTTGGCCATAAAATGGATGCTTGTGGTGTAATGACTGGTATATAAGGTATAGCTTTTATTAACTAATATTAATATTGTTATTAATAATAATAATTATTAATATTATTATTATTATTAATTACTGTTATTAATATTGTTATTAATCTAATTGTTTCTCTTAGTTAAAATACCAGTTTGTTTTATTTGTATTAATTGTTATGTTTCATTTGTTAGTGTCTGAGAGAATGTTAGATTGAGCATTAGTAAATGGGTATGCACTCCAGCATTAGTAAATGGGTATGCACTTTATGTGTGTAAAGCTTTCCCGCACATTTTTGTGAGAGTAGGGTTCCTGCACCACACGAGGACAGAGAGAAGCGAGACTTCACACACAGCGGGTGTGTGCTCGTGAGACACCTACCTCACTATGTGAGATTAGTTACCTCACTTATACCTGTGTGACTGGAATACAATAATCCATCTGGTGAGTGAGAGGGTATTTTTTGATGTATGATGTCCCATTTCCTGTGCATCTTAATAAATGTAATAAGCGGCTCGATGGGGAATGGTGAGTGTCTAAACTCGATGAGGTGGTGAACCTCTAAACTCGATGAGAGTGGTAGCTCGATGAGGTCGTAGTCTGCTATTTGTTCTGTGTCAAAGCTGGAGCATCTTGGGGTCGATTAGAACTGCATACGCCGAGTGCTACATCCTTGAGGTTGAAGAGGTGTTGTAACTCCGAAGCGTCTGTACTGAAGTTAACTGAATCACTGTGGAAATTATACTGATGATTACTTGCTTCTTGATTGCTTATATTATTGGACTACACCTCAGCTTCCTCCAATAGGATGGAAGGAATGTTACCTGTAATTAGGGAAAAGATTTAATTGATGTCATGAGTGCTAATGAGAGGTTTGCTTCTCTCATTTAGCTAATGAGTTTGGAGCGAGTAAATTGTTGACATAATTTACTCACTACATGCTTTTCTCACAAAACCATGTTACAGTATACTTACAAGATTGTGAGCCGTGAGATTGTGAATAGTTTTGACTCAGGATTCTCTCTATAAGCCTTGAATATTCAAGATCTATTAAACATGTTATATACTATATATTTTGTGTACATATGCAGTCCATATCATTGAAAATAAAAATAATTTATAATAATAATTCATTGTGTTGGGAGACAGGCAGCCAGAGTGTATTTATACATGTTAGGGTTACTGTATATCAAGTTCCACTCTCCCCCCAAGGTCGAATTACTGACCTTGCCCAAGATACAACCCCACACCAAGCTGACTAACTCCTGAGTACCTACTTACTACTAGGTAAACAGGTACATTAGGTGATAGGAAATGTGCCCAACCATTTCTGTCCCACCCGGAATTCTCAATTGCGAGTCGAGAATAAACCCGACTGTACTACAAGGACCTTAAATATGCTGGGTATATTTCCTTGGAGGATAAAACTATAAATATATAAATGAGTTTCTTTTCAGATCAAGCTGTGGAGCGTGCCCTTCCCAGAAGTTTGATGAGATCATCACATGCATCTCATCCCTGGTATCAGTGGACAAGGCAGCCCCGTATTCTCCACCATGATCCTCCACACCCTCCCTCACCTAGTCCTCCCACACCCGTGTCCGCACCTGATCTTTCAGGAGAGCAGCAAGAGGATGAGGGAAGGGCAGTGGTGGACCCAGAGAGGGCATCTGGCTGTGAAAATGAAGATGGAGACTGTTTATCAATACCTGAAGATACAAACAGTAAGTACAGTAATGTTCTGTACAGCGCAGTTCTCTGCCATCTTTATCTCATTCCAGTTAACAAATGATGATAAGCAGTTTTCAAAGCACTTGTGTTGAAGTGTATTTTTTCTTCACCCTGCAAGCCTCACAAGTGATATTGGCCCAAGTTTGAGCCCTGGGTAGAGGGATGATTGGGCACTGATTCATATGGGTTCACCTCCTCTTCACCCAGAAGTGCTTGTAGTAGTAATAATAATAATAATTTATAATAATTTATTTATATAAACATAGAAGACCTGATTACAGTGATTGCACAGCAGATATTTGTATTTTTTATAAAGCCACTATAAACATGTGAAGTGTTTTGGGCATACCTTAAAAATAAGGTGAGGATTTTAGTCAGTGCATTATTTGGGTAATACTTTGGGGCCTGGTTGTATCAATAGCTGAACTTTTGACAAATCTTTTTCTGGTTTACTCAATGCGAAAACATTTGCTAACAGATGAGAGTGGGCATGTAGCTGGGGGGCCACGAGAGCTGCCACTTCATCCGCTGCATTCATGGCGCGACACGTGTAATGAGGAGCATCTGGCCGAGTTAAGAGTCAAGTGCCAGGTGGGTGCCAATCGTAGTTATCATGAGGATAATGCATGCATCTGTTTATATTGCTTAGGCACTATATAACTGAAGGCATGATATTCAAACGTATTATTTAACCCTTCCGCTGCACAAATCATATATACAGTACTGTATATGATTTTGGCCCAACTGACTGGAGGACACATATATGCATGTATGTACAGTATATGTTTTAGAGTATTGAGTAAAATTTAAAAATCCTTCAGCAGCTACATGGGGTTCACATTGTCTTTCTCAGGGGTTCTAATAAACAGACACCTCTTACAAAAAAAAAAAAAAAAAAAAAATCATGGACACCATTCTTGAGTATGAAGGCCTCATTACTTTGTGAGCAACTATGGCTGGTGCATGCAGCACCAGCTAACAGCACTGATGTTCAGCTTATGACCACACCATCACTTAAAAATGATGAAATATATGTGTAACTGCTATTATTTTGTGGTGATATATTATAGAAGAGCCTGACTGTGATAAAGACTGTGTACAATGTTCAGACATCAATGAACACAATGCTGCTCATGATGTTAACAGTGCTAGGCAGACAGGAACAGCACTCTGCCACTGTTTTGTCCATCTAAGCATCTTGAAACAACTGCTCATGTTCCTGTACAAAATAAACTTATGGAAAATTGTTCATTTACAGGACTTAGTGACGAGGAACCTGATAATAGCAGCATTTTGGTGAGAATTAGTTTTGTGCATAGTATGTCGAGAGGCTGAATCTTGGCGAGTGAGGAAGTGTCGTCAGCTGATTGGCGTGTGATGGCGCTACGCTGTTTGAACACACCAGACCAGCTTACTTTGTTTGTCAAAGACCTTCCCAATTGTCCTGACGATTTTTTCAAGCTGAATTTTAAAGTTCAGCAGAGTTTTTGGCATTTTTGGCTGTGACAGGTAGGCAATTCCATGGGTTTATAACCCCATGGGTGAAAAATCTCCTGTTTTCGGTCCTACACTGTGGCTTGTTGAGCTTGAAACCATTACTCCTTGTCTGCGATACATCTGACCTTTTGAAGAAGTTGCCTGGGTCAACATCCTGCAAATTGTTCAGTATTTTGAACGTTTTGATACGATCAGTCCTATCGTGTCTGCCTTGTAGTGTTGCTACCCCTCAATCGTTCCTGGTAAGAGAGAGTTGACTTAGTTCTGGAATTAATTTTGTTGCCCGGTGTTGAACTTTCTTCAATGAAGCTGTCTTTCTGAAGATGAGCTTGGATGCAATAAATCAATACTATAATTTAAAAAGAGAAACTTCAGCTTACCTTGTTGTAGTCTGTCTTCTTGTTTAATACTGCAGACTTTGAAATGTGTAGTTCTTGAAAATTTACATAACCTAACCTCCGGTTATCTGAATTTCTGTCCGGATATTGTGAAGTTTTGCCAGATAATTATCCAGACTTCAACTTAGACTCTGTGCTAGTCTGCACTATCCGACCAAACCTTTGGTTATCCAGATTATCCAGATATTGCAAAGTTTTGCCAAAAAGTTATCTAGATGCAATTTTGGCCAGATAACTCAAATATCCAGTTAAGAGGAATATGGATACGTGAGCTCATACAGTATAGATTGAAAACAAATTAAAAAAAAATGTGCTCACTGGGCTGCTGTTAGCTATTAATAGCTGTGCACCACCAGAGTTAATGTTTTACTTTGTTTAGTTAAAATAATTTTGACCAAATAATCACTGCGTATATGTTTCTGGTAATTATTTTTATATCAATTGCTTAATATTTTTATCGTTTTGCAGCAACTAATACAACAATGCATTGGTGGTCTGCTTCTGAACCTCACCCTTGAGCAATTCAGGGAAGTGGAAGGTGAGTTGTCAACAAATTAGTGGTTACTGGATCATATATTAGACAGTTGAGATATGCAGTTAAAGTTTGTAACAATTTAAGTACAGTTAAAGCTTATGTACATAAAACTAATGATTGAGGTTTATATTGAGGATGTGTAGTAATTTGAAAGTTAATGTAAATACAGTTAATATTTAGTAAGGTATATAACACTAGTGAATGAGGTATACATAGAGAATTTTCAGAATTGGAACTTACTTGAAGTATAGTAAATTTTAAATGAATTATAACTAACAGATTTATTATTGTTAGTAACAAAAGATGATATTGGTGATGGAGTTATTCTTATAAATATAGTAATAGAGTACAGTACTGTATTAAGTGAAGTATAATAATAATAATAATACATTGTGTCAGGCAATAGGAAGCCAGAGTGTATTTATATATGTTAGGCTTATATCGAGGTGCCCCCTCTCCCCTAAGGTCGAATTACTGACCCTGCCCAGGATGCAACCCAACAAGCTGACTAACTCCTGCATTCCTACTTACTGCTAGGTGAACAGAAGCATTAGGTGAAAGGAAATGTGCCCAACCATTTCTGTTCCACCTGGGATCCGAACCCGGAATTCTCAATTGTGCGTCGAGAACGAACCCGACTGTACTACCGGGACCCTCCAGTATTGTAGTAGTATGGGTAGATCTCACATTAACTGGGTGGCTAAAATATTAGTATTTATTATATAAAGAACCAATAAGTAAGAAAATGACTTCACATACTTAATGTTTGTGTTTCAGGTGCATTGAGTCGGGCAGTATGCTGGTACCTGACGTGTGAGAGGTATTGGGAGGCTGGTACCATGGAACCACCAGAATTTCCCTGGGGTCTTGTTACGGGTCTTGTCCTCCTCTTGACACTGGGAGTGTCCCTAGCTTACTATATTGTTTGGGTGCTCTGCGAGTAAGTGTACTTGAAGATATTATTATACAGTACATGACATAGATAAGCTACCTGTACAGTACAGTGCAACCTTAATTCGGTGAATTGTATGGGGACCAGCCCTGATTCATTGCAACCAGAGATGCCTTTAGGAGGTATTTGTATGATACTGTTTTTTAAACAAGAAAAATATTTTGGTATGTCTGCTTCTTATAATGTTTCATTTATACTGAAAAAATAAAATACATGATTGGAGCCATATTAAGAGTTACCATTCATACCCTAATATTTGCCACACTATCGGCTAATTTAACTGAATAAAATTTAAATTTTATTGTGTCATATGATGGATAATTTATTCGTCATATGATATTTGTAATTATTATTTCAGCGATGTTTGTCAGCATATCTCTGGTGATGATCTGGTTGTGTGTACTGTAGAGTTTATATGTTCTTTGCTGTGGTCTTGCCATTTGTGCATTGTCAGGCAGCTGGAAAGAGATGTTGTTGTCTTACCTATATACAGTACTGAGATCATTGGAGCTAACAATTTCCAAGTTGGCATGTGAAGGCATAGATGACATTTGTCTCTTTCAAGGCATTTCACTTTCAAGTAGGGACAGGTCAAGCTTTCATACCTACATCTTTTAGGAAGATTTGAGTATGAAAATGAACCAAGACGTTTGCTTCGTTGACTGAAAAGGAGCAATTTTGCATCACACTACATTTTTTATGAGAATTACTGCTATAAAACCATGTTGTGTTGATTTTGCAAGATTATGCACTAATAAGTGGTGAATGATTTTCTACCTCAGGAGTATCACTATAAGCTAGCAGATATGTGAGGGAACTGTCAGGGGGGAAGTGCCAAGCCATTACTGCTATATAACACTTGGAAGGGGTCAGGATAAGGATTTGGGATGGGACGGGGAGGAAGGAATGGTGCCCAACCACCTGGATGGTTGGGGATTGAACACTGACCTGCAGGAAGCAAGACCATTGCTTTGCTGTATACCCCAAGTGGTTGGACAGCAGATATGTGAGGTTAGGCTGATTGGTTGGTAGTTTTCTGCTGAAAGTTTTCAGCTTTTCATAAAGATGGGATTACATTTACATACTGTATTTCCAATCTAGGGCAACTGTCATTGATCTAGAGATTTTTGAATAGCCATTTCAGTGGTAAACGGTTCTTCAGTCAGTTCCTTTATAATTTTGGATTAAATTTTATCCACACTTGGAGCTTTTAGAGACCTTTCATTTTTCAATGTTCTTCTTTATTTTAACTACATTTAGTCATTATATAAAGTGCTCTTCACAGGTCACAAGATGGAGGAGTAAGCACTCCAGGGAGTGTCCATGAGGCTGGAAGTGTTCCACCTATCAGGTCCACCAAACTTCGCCACTCAGCTGCTACAGAATCAGAAAGTGAGTGTCGAGACTCTGGCTTTAATGAGGGTCCTATATACCCTGACGCAAATGACAGCCACATGTACAGTGATTATGACGGCCAATCATATCGCTCTAGACACTACTCTGAGGACTCGCGGCTCTCGTATAACCCAGAAGATTATGGACCTGCCTCCAAGTACTACATCTCTGAGGAACGCATGTTTAACTATGCCACTACTTTTATGCCTAACTATGAACAGCGACGACTTAGACGAAATCGATACAATTATCTTGACGATTACGATGACTACCAAGATTTTCCTGAATCTGATAAATATTATGATACATCAAGTTTAAGTCGAGAGCACAGTGATAGTTTTATTTATGTTTCTTATCCACCGGAAGTTAAAAAAAGATTTAATGAAAACAGGTGATGAAAGAATTATACATTTTTCATTGGCAATGCCCATACTAGTTCACATTATGTGTAACTAGTAGCTATACTACTGTGAAACTAACATTTTGACATTCTTTCACCAAACTAGACTGGCAGTTAAATTTCATGAACACTTGATAGCCGTGTCAGGATGAACATGATATAAATAAAGCAGTTTTATGTAATTTAATTTGATGTTTGCCAAGATAAGAAAGACACATTTATTTGTATTGGAACATTTACTGTATAGCAAGATAAAGGGCATTTTCCTTTGGCAATTTCTTTCTAGTGTTACTTATTTTTGGTACAGTATGTATATTTTGTTATTGTCTACATATAGTATATACAGTAGTTTAAATGATGTGAATAAGAGATGGAAAAAGAGTAAGTTGATGGTGGTTACAGTTACACAAGACATTTTTAGGTTATATTAATGGATATGTGAAAATGGATAGCACAAGAAAATTTCCACAATTTTAACGTGGCTGTGCACTAAGATAAATGTGTATCAAATGAACTGTATATGCATTCCTATGGACCAAGTTTGTATAATATTTAAAGAGGAATTAGCAGTGCTGTTAAAACATTGGTGGCCCTCTTCACTCAACTTTTAGATCATGTATGAAAGGTTCATTAACATAATAGGCTTTAAGGTATCATATTTCTGTCCCATTCATTTAATATTCGTGGGTTTCCTTTTAACATCCCCACTTCTGCTCGTGTTTTTCTCTTCATTTTAAAACTTTTACTGAGGGTTAACAAATAAGAGACCCATGTATTTTTCTGTAGCCATATAGAATACATGATATCATAGACTATCCCTACCTGCAGAGGGTTAACTGATTTAACTTGAACTGTTGATGGTCACATGGCTCTGTTGTAGCTGTGAAGGAGTCTCCTAATATGCCTTTTTGATGTACGAGTGTTGTGTATAAATCTACATAACACAACACCATTTCTGACATCTTATTCAAGAGTCACATATTGTATTGTACATTGTGCATTATATATGGTGTATTGTGCATTATACATGGTGCATTGTATGTGGTGTATTGTACATGGTGCATTACATACAGTGCATTGTGTGTAGGGCATTATACATGGTGCCTTGTATGTAGTGCATTGTACATGGTGCATTCTGTATAGTACATGGTGCATTGTATGTGATACATTCTATATGGTGCATTGTATGTACTGCATTGTACATGGTGCATTGTATGTGGTGCCACCTCAGTGGACAGAGCAGAGTGCTGGTTGTATTGAGCTCTGCTGCTTTCCCATATAATATATTGTGTATGTTCTGTTCATAGCTCATGAATCTACTTAGGAAAAAATATTTTTATATTTAGTGGTACTCTGTCACGTGTTTCAGCCCGAGTACAAATATAACAAAAGTGTTGTTTATGATAATTGCATAATGATGATGGTCAAGCAGAAGGTAACTGCTATCAGTGTGCTTCCTTGGGAGCTACCTTGACTATAATACTAATCAAAGAGAGAGAGACAGACAGACAGAGACAGAGAGAAACAGAGACAGAGAGAGAGAGAGACAACTACAGCTGTGGATAGCTTCTTGCATACAAAGATTTTAAGACTTAAGATTGTTAGCCATGAGTGGTGAGCAAGGGAGTAAAATGCTTGGTGCTGGCTTGTAAACTAACCACAAACTACTACCTGATTTGTCCACATAGCTCCCAGGGATGCTACTTAAATTGTTGAGAATCAGACAATTATTGTTCACATGCTGAATTTAATTTATTACCTAAAGTTATATATGAAGTATGTATTAGCCATACAATTATTTAGTCATTTATTTTAGAAAAGCTAAAGGTATAATATAAACAATAGTCATCCTTTTTAAAGAATTTGAAAGAATATCAATGCACAAGAATAATGCGTAATACAATATATAAATTAATGTTTCAAGAACATTTCATTGTTGTCACTTATAGTAAGATTAGAATTGAGAGAGTTGTGTTATTAGTTAAGTATGTCATTCATCATTCCTATGGAGGCCAAAGAATAATAGTTTTTAATTGTGCTATTATCCAATAAGGAAATTACCATTAAAGTATCTTCATAAAATGATACACTTTCTTAAGCATAAGATAAGAATTTTGGCAAGTGATATGGATAGGGCTATTTTCCTAACTGTTGAATATTGTTCTTATAATCTACTGTTTTTCATGATAATATTTCATCTGCTAGACTCGGGAGTTCTCATTCTTCTATGGTCCGTCCTCCCTCCCTTTAGGATCCACCACTTGTAGATTTTGTGCAGTAGAGCAAGAGTAAGCTGGCTGGACCATTAGTAATGTGCTGTAGAGTAAGGCTTTGGGGTTCTATGCATATATATACAATATATCTGTGTTCAGCTAATCGGTTGCAGGAAGGTCAGCTGTGAGAGGTCATCAAGCCAAACCAGCTCATCTTATTGATTAAAGAGTTTATATATATATACAGTACTGTACTGTACTGTACTTGCCAGTGGAGAAATAAACAAAGAAACAGTGCTTTTATAAATTTATGTGCATACCATTATATATGACCTGCATTAGAATAGACATCTAGTCTGTAATTGTGCAGCTGTTCTGTCTGCTGCCAAGAAGTGGCATAGCTTGAGAAAATTCTGTACAAAAAAAATTCTGTAATTGTATAACAAAGTGAGCAAACAGTGTATTATATGCCATAGTTTTTTAAATAATTTGATTTTTAGATGAAGTTTGTGCAAAATGTTAGAATAAACAGCAACAAAATATTGTTTTAGGGGCTTATTTATAATTAAAATAAAAGAGTATTGAAAGGGGCTGCAATTAAAACCCAATTCCTTAGGTCATGTCTTTGAAAGATATTAAGATAATGCTTCTTATGCCTTCTCTTGTTGTTAGATCAGGATATTTGATAAAGGACAATAAGCTTACATCAATATGTCAAATTTTCATGACACATGAAACGTGTGAAAAGTGCAAAACTTTTGCTATTTTAAGAGAGAGTGAAAACAGCTACAGTATCGAGGCTTTAATCTGTGATAGTGCAGAAAGGTTGCCAATGAAGGGTATTGTAAGGCAAACTGCTTAAGAAAATTCCAGCAATAAAAAGGTAGTAGTAGTAATAGTAGTTTAGCTGCAGGAAGGCTATAAAAGATGAGCTGGACATGGTGCAGTTTAAGCTCTTTCTATTACAGAACTATTACTTGGTCTTCATCTTAGCCATAGCTTCATATAGCCGAGCTGTTTCCTCAGGAACACATTGAATTTAGTAAATTGAAAAAATCAGATGTTTGAATGAAATTATACATAGAGTGGTTTCATCCTTGAATGGCATGATTGGTTCTAGACCTCTTCCGATATATCAGATCACCCATTGCATATGATCATTTCTTTTCCTAAAATAATGTGTATTTAATAGTGCAAATAATGGGACGTGCATTTGTTCATTTGAATTATAATACGAAAGCCACATAGAAAACCCGAGATCTCGTGATCCTCAATAGTTAGTCAAGAACGCATATTACTGCACTCGGTGCTGCATGGATAGCCCAATGAAAGAGTTAAAGGTCTTATGATTGAATGGGGGTATAGAACAGACTGGAAGATATATTTAGGGCTACCTATAGAAGCTTTTCTATCATGGCAATCTTTTTCTGAGGAGACTTTCTTAGACCAATATATTGTCAGATATAATCAGAGTGGTGTTTTGATTGTCCAAAATAGTTTTATATGAAAGTCTTGCTTAAAAAAAATGGAAAGCAGATTTGTTAATGCTCGGGGTTTGAGTATGTTTGGATTATGCAAAGTTTTTTGTTTAAGTGGAATAATTCTTTGGATTCTGGCAGTTATTTGTCTGGGAAATAAATAAAAACATTAAAATATTTAAAAATGAATCTATCATGTTATTTTATTAAAGTATATTTGAATATGTGTTCTATCATATAAGCTATTATGATACAAAAGTTTTGTTAAACTAAATAGGGTACGGTCCCAATAATTCAGATAACCGAGACTCAACAATACCAAAATAAATGACAAATAATTGGAGATTGCATGTAAAGGCTCAACATTATTATACACAAAACTAAAAAAATATATATATGATCTGTTAAGTCTCTATAGTATGAATCTATTGGTAAATTTGAGACTGGCCATCAGGTGTTTTAACTGTGGTTTTGTGGTTGCCTCATTGCTGTAAGTAGCTTTACATTTGTCTGTTGTGTCATCTGGTAACCATATTTTATATTTGGTTACAACCAAGGAAACCCTTCAGTACAGTATGGAGTGAATCAAAGTGTATTTCCACTGGTTATGATCACTTATAATCCTTTACCACACTTACTGTTATTAGAGCCAAGATAACTATGTAGAATTTGGTTACAGTGAGGAGTTAGGCTATATGATGGATGATCTAAGGAAATTAGGACATAGTGTAAAGTGTTTATGGTATGAGGTTCATGAGTTAAGGCAGTTACTGTACCAGCACCACCTTGAGAGTAGTCACCTTACACATCCAAACATATCTACAAATTTTGGGTAAATGTTTGGTAAATCACATGTGGTAAAGGTTTGAATATTTTCAAATTTGGCTATTAATTAATTTTAAGTACAGGAAACAAGAAAAAATAAATTTATTTTATGGGCAGTTTAAACACACTAGAATATACAGTCCAGCTATTTTGTACTGTGTAGGATTAGTGACATGACCATGTTAAGCTATAGAACTTTACCATTCATCTACTGTACTTGTATGTACTTTGCAGTAAATAGTATTGTAAAGTTAATTGGCTGATGTACACATTGGAACAATGCCTTCTTAAAGGAACTTTCTCAAGATTTTCTTTTAAGAGAAATATAATGCTGGTTTTCATGTGAAATAACTTGTGCAGTTATAGCAAGCTAGCTACTCAACTTTGAGCTAGGCCATTTTCTTTCAAATCTTCTTGTTTTTTATATGTAATTTAATTTTATTCTGTAAAATGAAAACAAACCTTTAGTGCTGGAAATCTAAGAATGACTTAACTATCCCAACTCCTGATAAAGGTGAAGTGACCATGCTGAGCTACCTGCATAAAGGACTTTATAACATGATGAAAGAAATTGCAGAATGTTTCTCATGTGTTTTGGATGTTAAAGATGACTACAATAATGGGAATGCCAGGTACTAAACTTGATATGTCATGTTCTAAAAAGTTTGATGATACTGAACTGTACTGTATTTTGTAGACACACAAAAGCTTAAGTTATGAAACAAAGCAAAATATGTGACATTACTGTATTTCTCTTGCTGGGTCATGTGAAGGATGAGTTACACTGTATTCAAAGATGATAATCAGACAATGGTGATGTA